CATACTCTTGAAGCTCAGACTATTCTAAGTCATAAACATAACTATCTTATTGTATTCCTTCCGCAATAAGCTCTTGTTATACATTGTTCCTCTGCTCTAGGAAGCTAAACCCTTCCGAAGTGGCTTACATTAGTGAAGCTAGTCGGTATAGGGAAAGTATTCCTAACAAAAGCGTGTGCCGTGCGCGACAATCTCAGTTTCGCAGATCAACGTCATGTCATCTAGTTGACGAAGTCTTGGGCCACCTGGGCTTCGAAAGGAGATAAGCCTTTTGTGCGTTCTGGTCGTTGGTCTCACGCGACAGAAGAGAAAGAGAGGGAAAGGCCCGCAAGTCAAGCAGACCGTCATTGAGGTCAGAGAACAATGATTCAATTCTTCCAAAGTCAAAAAAGGCATTAAGGGTATTGTGGTGTCGGATAAAAAAAATCTTCGCTCATAATTCCCTTGCCCCCATTTCCCTTTCCATGCGCAGTCAAAAACCTGAACACAATGCGCTTTTTTTTCCTTCATTCCGGACTTCGAGTTCGTTCGAGCCTAGATACCCAAGAGCAAAGACGATATTGAAAGGGATGTAATAGTGGTGGGGATGGGAGGAGTAACAAGGGCGACGAGGTATGAACAGATAGGTATCCGCGATCGAAGAACACGCCGACGACAAAAACTCCTTTCCCGTTGTAATCCCAGAGTTTCCTATTCGTGGCGTTGGGGAATATTACTCGTCCCTCCTAATGATGCCCATTTCCCAAGTCCGCATTTATCTTTTCACAAGGTAATGATACAATCAACGCCAATCAAGCCCGCTCGAGCTGGTGGAGAAAAAATTACGCTTGAATTGGTTTGACATCGTGTTTCTCGTTCTTGACATCTGATGATGTTTCGCTCTTCTTAGCGTCGGCCTCGGCTTGAGCTTTTCCACAGCCCTTGACCAAAATATGTCTCTAATGGGCCAGCGTTAATACACATTTACTTCACGATTTGTCAAATCTCTCGTACCTTCAGGGCATCCTTTCGGGAGAAGCTCTTGTCGCAGTGGCCACATGGGAATGGTTTGACTGCAAGATGTATGCGCTTGTGGCGCTTCAGGTCATGATTTCTGTTGAAACTCTGAGGACACTGATCGCATTTGAAAGGACGATCATTGTGTGCTGGCTGCGAGGGCGGATGTGGCGAATTGTTGTACATGTGCTGCAGGCTAGCTGCGTGGCCACTGTTGAAGTTCATCATTCCCGTGGGCAAGTTCCCCACAAGCATTGGTGGACCACCAGGATTGCTCAAATTTGAGAGGACGGGACCATGATGAGGAGCACCAGGATATCCGGCCGAAAATGCTCGTCCGGGGTAGTGGCCTGCACCTACGGGAGGAGCTGAAAGAGGGCCTGGAGTAGCCGGTGACATCTGAGGCCTGGAGGTCATTGGACCACCTGCGCTTAGCGGGGTAGAAATGGTTGGAGATGGCCCTGTCGAGTACGGATAGCCTGAGTGTGGGGTATTTGGAGGTTGATGCGAGTAGTACTGCGACGGACCTGGTCTGAATGGTTCTTGCGTGTGTACAGGCGACGGACCAGCAGCGCTGGAGACAGGAGTGGATGACCCCATCATAGGGGCTGAATGCTGCTGTGGAGACGGTAGTGGATGGCTCTGGGGCGGCCCCATCGTAGCAAGTGTTGCGGGAGTCGACATCGGACCCGAGTTCTGATATGGGGATTGAGCCACTTCGTAATGAGCGGCTGGCATAGGTGACTCCTGCGCTTGGGACTGCGAGTTCCGGACTACGTTCTGATGGGGTGAGTATGTTCGTTGCTGCGGATGTTGATACGACTGTGTTGAGTTGTTGCTGTGATTGAACGCATATGAAGGATTGCCTTGATTTGGCGGTGACCACGCTGCGTAACCAGTATTCGGTGCATATGTCGAAGCTACCGGAGGTGGAGCACTGCTACTTGGAACGCCAGTCAATTGTGGGCTGTTACCATCTCCTGCAACTGTGCTTGGGGGCGTGAGAAGATTTCCAACGCTAGCGAGGCTAGCAGGAGTTTGACCTGCTTGCGATCCTGAAACCGAATATGGGTGTTTGGGGAAGGGTGGAAGGTCGAATTGAGGCAGGCTTGGAGCGTTCGGTCTGCGCTGCGCGAAGCTTGCTGGAGCACCCATCGGATCCGGCCCAGGGTGCATATGGGTCGGATGAGCTACTGCGGCAGCCACGGTGACGGTGGTTTTCTTGTTAAAGGCCGAGGGGCCAAAGCGTTCGATGCTGATAGGAGGCGAAACTTCCTACCACCTGCAAATGGTCAGGCCGCGCTTTGAAGGTCGCCTCAGGTGTACGACCAAGCGGACAGTCTTTGCTGTAGCCCGTGACGGACAAAGCGAAGTGAACGCGCTGCTGGAGATTGTTGAGTTTGTTGACCCGAAGGCAGACCACGCGTCAGCTCTCGATGGCCTTTCGCTGGATGTGGCCCAGAGAAAGCACGGTCGTTGGTACCTGCGCCTATAGGTCGAACAGGTGCAACAAGTCAGCGCAAGTCAGTCCCAAATGCCACCACGCAATTTCGAGCGAGGTAGCAATCCGATCCCAAGGCACGGGATCGCGGACAAAGCAGAGTAGTGCTTGGTGAGACGAGTGGTTTTTGGCCGTAGAACAAGAGCTTTGAGCGAGACCGGATTGTCAGGTTGTGCAGATGCTGTGCGACGAGGCGAGGTCGAACAAGGCTGCGCGAGGCCCAATATTTGGGGGAAGATTTGGAGATACAGCCGGGTGGGCCTTTGTTTTAACGAGCAAGCACGAAGTGTCCTTGAACCCACGTCGAAATGAGCCTTTGCCTTTTCCCCCCTGTTACAAGGTCACGGACTAGGATCGGCTAGAGATGCGACTGGGTTGCAGAGGGATCCAAGATATGATTGATGACAACGCGTCAAAACAGGAGCAGGGTGCCGGTGAGGGAAGAGGAGAGAGAGACAGCGGGCGGGGGGTGCGACGGGTGTAATGAGCGACGGCAACGTGAGCTGCTGCAGAGACAGAGAGCGTGACAGAGACTGGTGACGAACGACTCTCTCTCTGGTACACCCCAGGGACCTGGCGTTGTCGATGAGCGGAAGGCGGAGACGGAGGCTTCTCTTCTTTGTGTGAGTGGACTGAAGGTTTATTATGTATCCGGCCAGGCTTAGGCTGTCTAAGGAGCAGTGAAAGGCCCGAGCGCCTGGATCTGGATCGGCCGCGGGCTGGGATCAAATGGGACGCGAGAAGGATGCAACAGCTCGTCGCTGGCTCACACAAGCGATCGATGTCCAGAAACAGCGCGAGCGAGATGACGCAGACAAGAGCAAGGAAGCGACGGGCCCAGTCACGGCCGGGGCATATGGCACAGATATACTGCGTGCTTGACAATCGTCGTTCGTCGAGAGCAGTCAACACCCGCGTCTGTCGAGAGGCCTGCAAATCAGAACCGGCTGCCTCCTCGCTGACACCACCTGCAAGGTCTAAGGAGGGTTGCTAGCTGCGGGACGGCTTGCAAAAAGCTGGGAGTGCTCGCTTGACCTAGCCAGGACATGGGTGTGCAGAGCGCACACATGGGGCGCCCGAAGGACTATGCCATCGACTCTTGCGGATTAGCCGTCCTGCACGGTCAATAGCGTCCAGCGCCAGTCGCGAATGGGGGGACGTGCGGCTGTGACCCGCTGGCTCGGGGTGCAGGACTTGCTTCTTTCTCCTTTCGCGGAGCCAGAACGAGAGAGGACGGTCGACAAAAGAGAGCAAGTCAAGGCATCGAGCCGCCCGCCGGAGCGTGACACATCGGGCCATGCATTCGTTCATTACTCACGGCCGGCGAAGGACCGCTGCGACTTCGCTGTCCAGCCCGCGATGGGTGCAGCCGGACGACTGAGACGATAAAACAAACACGAAAGGAAAACGTCGGACCAATCTGCCTGTGCTAAATTCGCCTTCATCTCTTCACCAGCAACTTTTCCGCAGCCAGATGAGCGACACCCCTGAAACTCGCCTGATGCTTGAATGAGCTCCCGCCAGCAGGGTCTATCACTGCAGTAGTCTGAAGACTGAAGAGCTTCGAAATGGGAAGGATATCTCATGCGAGCACGAGATTCCGCTGTAGGGAGGAAACCCCTTCCCATGTGCATCGAAACCACTTTCGGAAGCAGAAGTATAGGCGCAATTTTAAATTGTCCGGTCGTCCCCTTGAACGGGTGCAGACACGATCTAAATTTACCATCGCCGTGATGACATGGTGTTTCAAACCCGAACGGGCATGTTCAAACTCCCAAATTTTGGGCCGCGACCGCAGGTACCACTTGGTTTTCGGTCCCAGAGCACAGCTGCTCCTAACCTGTGAGCAATCAGCCGGGTTTGGGACCAGCTTTTCTGTACCATCAAGATGCTTTGAGATTCGTCGCGGAGGAAAACGCTAGGACTCCTCATCAGTAGTCAGTCACCGGCATCAATCAGCGAACGTTTACGGCAACATCCGCGCGTTGAGTCCGACTCGTATTGGCCAGATCCGGCCAGGGGCCAAAGGATAAGACGAGCTCTCCTGTCCAATTCTGGCCGGCTTGGTCGCTTGCTGTTGCCCACCTCGTGCCGAAGCGCTCTCAGATTCTACAGGCGCCGTACTGAGCAATCGCGCAGTGCTCCTTCGGCCGTGACTGACGACGCATGCAATTATTGGGATTCAGACCAGCGTTGCTATTCCGGTACCTTTTGGCATCGAAGCAGAACCAAGCGCGAGCCTTCCATTGGACGTGCACTGTTCGCATCCATCACCCGCTCACGCCAAGGCCGATCCGGACGCCCCCATGCAACGGGGGTGCTGGAGACAACCTGCGTTCCGTGTTCCTGGTGATGAAAAGCTGCTCATGTGCGCGTCGGCTGCCGGCTTCACTTTGGTTGCGGCAAAGGCGCTGTGTGGCTGCACAACTCCATGCCCTCTGGGAGATCTTGTTCGTCCAGGGCACCACAGACAGACTGCCACCCATCTACATGGCGCTCCTTGAGGCTCTCCCAGCACCAGTTCCCCGCATATCCAGAGTACGGCCGTGCTCTGTACCCAGATCGTGCCCACCAAAGATCCAAGAGCGACTCCCAAAGTCCTCATATCTTCTGACCGTGACACACAGCTTCCCCTAATCAGAACCTGCACCCCGTTGTTTGCAACTCGAACATGGAAGGGGGAGCCGCCCAATCAGGGTAAAGTATAAGCGAAGACCTTTGCCTTGACTGGCTTCGGGACTCAGTCGATGCAGGGACGCTAGTCAAAGTTGGGGTAAGGATTTGCTTTTGCTGTCAGCCATCCTTCATTTCGACAAGCTGCGAGATATCCTTTAGCGTAGCTCACACCAGATTGGATGCATCGTCGCTCATTCGGTCTGCTCGCCTGGTGGCCCTTTTTCGAGTGGTGCATAGCATCAGGTGTTCAACCTGCGGTGGGGCTGTCTGGTACTTTCTTTGTCGACTGGTATCATTGTGCAGTAGTAAAATTTTCCCTTCGTCACGCAGACGACTACCTAGAGGTACATCCTGCCAAGGCAAATGACTTGGTCGCGTTTTTGTCATGAAGATTTTCCTCAAATTTGATGGATATACACTGTTGATCCCAATCGACGACCTCTCGCTGCGTCACACGCTGATGAATTGCAACATCGTCACTCGATACAGATTTGCACACGTCGATCGGACAGCGGAGTTACGACGACATTCAAGAGACATGGACTTGTCCAATTTTTTTTTTCTTCTTTTTATTCTTTCAGACGGATCATGTTAAAAGAATGGTCTTTCTGTTTACTATTGGGTCACATCTAGTCAACCTCAAGAGATCAGCAGTATCCATTCCCTACCTAGTCTCGCGTTCCACTCGTTTGGGATAAAGCAGGAAAAAACACTCAAGCTCACCACTACCCCTTTTCGCATCGACAAGGATTGCCTGGCTGCCACGAGAGGGGGATACTGTGGTAATGGGAGGGAGAGCAGCGCAGGCTCAAGGATCAGGATGAGAAACCCGCTGGATCCTCTTCAGCATGCAGCCTCAACCGCACCTAGTTTCCCCCCATGCTTTCTTCGCGCGCATACGTAGTGTTGTGAATTTTTTTTTTTTTTGCACTCATCATCAGACCGGTATTCTGGCAAGGCGAAACGTCACAGGATCATCAAACGCAAGCGCGATTTAATTCTCCTTCGGCGTGCAGTCCTTTTCCAGACCCGCCTACTGCACGTTTCTGCGCAATAATTTTGTACTAAAACCCGTTCTGCAGGTGTCAAATTTCCTATGTTTCTAAATTCAAACGACGCCCCATATCGTGGTGGCTTCAGCCCAAAAGTCCGAGCCAGCCAAAAGCCGCCGACCTACCGTCAGCCTCCCAGAATGGGCCCCTATTGTGGTATAGCACGATTAGCCAAAACGTTCACTGTTTAGGTTGATTAGCGTCAAATGGAATAGGTAAGCTTTCTGCCCGTCCTGCGAATTGTTTCTTGTGTGCCCGTGCGGGAGACGCGTGCAGCACACTGCAGCGTCATCCCAAACGGACGCACAGGACCATTTTGCACGACAGCAGCGTGGGATGTACACGTCTCTTGTCATCGGCTACGCGAGGCTTATCACCGATCCTGGGACGGAATGTCGCGAAGGACCTGGACGAGCGCAATTATTGCTATTCCGGCACGCGTTCTCGACTGCCGGTGAGTCGACAGCAAAGTCCTTACTATTTCAAGTTTTAATATGCACGAGTCCGGATGTTTGCCAAGCACTCTAAATGCCCTTGACCTACGGTGACTCTGAGAATAGCACAGCGTAATTTCGCTTGAGCAAAGGACTCGCCGATGCCCGATAATTCGTTCGGTACCAAAACTACGCAGACTCGGCCCAAAAATCCTTTCTGTGTCATCATGCCGATCTCAAGCCTCAGGCGGACGTACCTGCATATGGCTTGACAGTTTCGACGCCATCTCGACAAGGCCCGAACCACTTGGTGCTTCAGAATGCGGTGGCAAAACGCACATCGTTCACGTCGATCCTGAAAGCGTATCACTATATTCAGAGGGCAAACGTGAATTCTTCAGTTTAGCGCACAGCTCCTATGTCCACAATCAATTTTCTGCCGCTGCTGATATCGTGGATCCTGCGACGCGCCCACAAGAGCGAGCCAATGCAGTTTCCCCATCACGTCGATCCTATGGAGTAGCATTCTCCTGACACCGGGTACCGCTGTCCGCGACGTTCTGGATGCGTGACGCTGCCAGTTTACCCGCCCAGCAGCCTTACACTAGGTCCGCAGTGAACAAGCATCTCCTAATTAACGCATGAGGATCTTGATAGCCCCCCCCCCATCAACAGGCGGTTGGCGTGCGCCTCTGACTTGGGAGGAGCTTTGCTATCGTAGTGCTTCATCTGTGCTTCGCGATGTGGCTTCGTCTAAGCGCGCTTCAGATCACGATTTTTTAGTCCGCCTGCTTGATGGGGTCACACCTCCAAGCCATCGCTCGTCTATTTCTAATTTGCTCTTTCTTCACTGGCCAGCGGTTCCGTCAAAGCGCCTGAAGCTCTACCAGCCGTGCGTACTCAGCAAGAACTGCATCTTTATCTCAACGGTTCTGCCTCAGCTTGAGTTCATTAGTCGAACGACGGGCGCTGTGATTTCCAGGCTCTTGAGCTCTGCAAAACCCACTAAACCCCTAAATATAACCCCACAACTGCGGAGTAACTCTTGTACTCTCCTGCCATTCTGTTGTGTGTTTCAGGAGTTGCTTAGCCTAGATCTCGTGCTGCTAGGATAAGGCATGTCACCTTGTTGCGGGTCCCGGACACGAAAATGACTGGGGCCTACGTACGACCAGTGCAACGCAAAATCCCCATGAGAGGCTTCAAAAATTCTCCTAGCTTTTTTGGACACTAGACTATTGTGAATGTGGGCGATGGACTGTATCCGCGTGGCTAGAAAGTCGATTTGAAAGTTCACAGTCCGCACAGTGAACACGAGAATGTCGGAATTAATTCATTGTAGACGCATGAAGGCGTTCTGCAAGTCGGTCAGAAGTAGATAATCATCTCAATTGTCAATTCGTGTACATTGGAACGTACGATCAGAGGCTTCATACGAATTTCCGTCCTTTAGAAGATGCACATCCTATGACGGGTAACCCTTGGGAGCGCTGCTTATCGATAAAGAGAGTGACGTGCAAACCCCGCCAGAAAGGCTCGTTACATGTACAGCATACCCACTGAAGCGAATCTGAATCGTCCACGCGTCAAAAAACATTTTTTTTACAGTGACACACTGGCTGAAAGAAAGACTGAAGGTCTACAACATGAGCTTTAGGTAAAGCTGCACGATTTGAAGACCTTAGCCTCAGTCCACATTAGACAACATTAGCCTGACCAGCAAAAAATGAAGCTGGTCAAGCAGCAGATCGCCAAAGACGGCTCCGGCACCGTCACTCTGATTCCCGAGGAGCCTGAAGATATGGTATTCCTGTATTTGGATTGTCAAAGCGTGCAAGCTAACGAGACTCTGCAGTGGCACGCCTACAACCTAATACAGCCCACCGACCTTCTCCGCGCCTCCGCTGTTCGACGATTGACGAGCACGTCGGAAGCGGGCAGCACGAGATCCGAACGGGTGCACACGACGCTCACCATCAAGGTCACAAAATTGGACTTCGACGCCGCAGACTCTAAGTTGCAGGTTGCCGGCAAAGTAGCTGAGGCGAATCAATTCGTTTCGCTAGGCAGCTTCCACACGCTGGATCTCGAGCTCAACAGGCAGTTCACCCTTGCCAAAGGCGAAGGATGGGACAGCGTAGCGCTTCAGCAGCTCAAGGAGGCGATAGACAGCGGCAAGCAGAGGGCCATGCTGTGGGCGATCATGATGCAGGAAGGCATGGCCAACATCTGCTACGTGACCGAGTACCAGACCAAGATCGTCCAGCACGTGTCCAGTCCGATACCGAAGAAGCGATCGATCGGGGGCGACTACGAAAAGGGCGTCAAAAGGTTCTACACGCTCGTCTTCGAGACGATGAGCAGGCACATGGAGCTGAGCACGACGCCGCCCGAGAACCTGCCGGCGGTGCTACTGGCCAGTCCCGGGTTCACGGCGCAGAATTTCTACCAGTTCGTCAAGGAGGAGGCGGCGAGGACCAACAGCAAGAGCGTGGGCGCGCTGGTGAAGAAGATGACGATCACGCACGCGAGCTCGGCGAACCTGGCGGCGCTCGCCGAGGTCATGAAGAGCCCGGCCGTCGCGTCGCAGCTGCGCGACACCAAGTTCGCGAGGGAGACCCAGCTGCTGGACGAGTTCTACGCGTCCCTGCGGCGGGACGACGGAAAGGCGTGGTACGGGCCGAAGGAGGTGCTCCAGTGCGTCGAGAAGGGCGCCGTCGGACGCGGCGGTGGGGTCCTCCTGATCAGCAACAATCTGTTCCGCAATCAGAACGTGGAGGAGAGGAAGAAGTGGGTGGCCCTGGTGGACAGGGTGAGAGACGTCGAGGGGGGAGAGGTCAGGGTGCTCAGCGAGGCTCATGAGAGCGGCAAGCGGCTGGAGGCGCTGGGTGGTATCGCGGCTCTGTTGAGCTATCCAATCTTTGATCTCGACGACGAGGAGGAGGAGGGTCAGGAGGGAGAGAAAAAGGACGACGCTGGTGAGTGAGTGTCAAATTGACGAGTCGAAGTGGCTCGACATGCTTGCATTCGACGTCGTTCAGAAAGTAAGCATGAGTCGAGACCAATTATGATAAGAGGGATGGGAAAAAAAAGCGGGAGCGAATCTCGTTATGAAACGTTTTTGGTTATATCTATTCGTGACGCAGAACACGTTTGGGGAAAAAAAAATGCAACAAGCTACGAAAGATGAGCGTATCTATTGCATGGATCTTGCGTTCTCGCAGGTTGAGAACCGCGTGGGACAAGAGAGAGAACTCGAGATGGACGTGAAGTAGAGGATAGACGATGTTACCAGGCATACAACGGTTTGTTTGGCTGTGTCACATCTCGAACTGTGCAGATTTCAAGTACGTTGCCGTATTTCCCGTCTCTACTAACGAGTGTCCCGACGGATGTCATCGGCACTTTCCCCGACCCTATCCACCCTACGAAATGCACTATATCCGCCATCCTGAGAGCTATCTCTGGCCCTGAAAGTCGTTGAGGTTATGCAAGCTAATGTCTTGCGTCGAGCTGACGGGTTCTGTCCTGTGACTGTCGTCCTGCTCAAATTGGCCCGTTAGACTGACCATCCCGTTGTTCATTGAACTCAACGGGTCGTCTTTCTCGGTCCCCGGAGTTGCTGCAGCCACAATCTGGCCGTTCGTGTCCAAAGTGGCGCCATTCTTCGCGAGCTTTATGGTGTTGATGTCAGCAATCCCTTGGTTGACAGCCATTCGTGCATTCTCTACGAGCTTGGCCTTTTTCCTATCGCCCCTGATCCGTTCGAGATGTTCTATGTAACCCTCGCTGACGGGGGTGACATATTTGCCACAGAAGACGCCGACCTCGAAGCGTTTTGGTCCGTTGGGTGGAGCAAGAGACAAACAGGCTTGCTCAAGGTCTGGCAGATCTTGGTAGATGACGGAGTCTGCACCGATGTGCCTAGCGATATCTTCCTGGGTGCGATGATGTGCTATAAGCTCCGACGCACTGGCCAAATCGATGCCATAAATGTGAGGGTTGGTGATTGGGGGTGCACAGCTTGTGAAGACGACTTTCTTCGCGCCAGCTTCTCTGGCCATGATGACGATTTCTCGACTAGTCGTTCCTCGTACGATACTGTCGTCCACAAGGAGAACCGTCTTGCCGGCAAACTTCTTCGGCATCGGATTCAGCTTCGCGCGGACACCTTTTTGTCTTGCCTTCTGATTTGGCATGATAAATGTTCGGAAGATGTAGCGGTTCTTAACGAAACCCTGGACGTACTCCTTGCCCAGAGCCACCGCGACGCACTGTGCTGCCGTAATGGCGGTTTCAGGTATCGGCATGACCACGTCAATGTCTTTCAGGCCATCCTCGCCCAAAACTCGTCTAATCTTCGCCGCGAGCCTGAAGCCCATACTTCGGCGCGCTTCGTCAACATCGATGCCATCGATGATTGTGTCTGGACGAGCAAAATAAACGTATTCAAAAATGTCAGGTGAGTACGCAAGCTGTTCCTGAACTTGATGGAACACGGGCTCTTTCCCGCGTTCGATGATGACCGCTTCGCCGGGTTTGATATCCACAAAATTTTTGTAGCCGCATTGTACCAGTGCTACGGACTCGGAGGCCATCATGTAATCGATGCCGTGGCCACTTTCCGACGGCTTGGAGCCCAGCACCATGGGGCGGATACCATACGCATCGCGGAATCCAATCAGACCAAATCCTGCAACGCGCATTGTTAGCCGTGTGCTACCATCCAAATGAGCTCCCAACAAGTACTGACCGGCAATCATGGCGGTGCAGGCCCAGCCACCTATGCAGCGTTGATACATCCTAGACAAAGCAGCGAAGCAATCATTCGCATTGACACGCGATTTCCCAGTCTCGTTAAGCTCGCTTGCGAAGATGTTAAGCATGAGCTCGCTGTCGCTGTCTGTATTGATGTGCCGATGCGCCTCTTTGTCGAGATACTCCTTGAGCTCCGGAGCATTGATAAGATTCCCATTGTGTGTGAAACAGATGCCGTATGGGCTGTTCACATAAAAAGGTTGGGCCTCCGAGTTTGCGCTGCTGCCGGCGGTGGGATATCGCAAATGGCCCAGGCCCATGTAACCCGGGAGGTCGGCAACGCGGGAGCCGTCGTGGAAGACTTTGGCGGCCATTCCGTTGCCCTTGCACTGATATATGCGTCCGCCAGCTGCACATGTTGCTATGCCACATGCATCTTGTCCACGGTGTTGCAGTAGATATAGGGCATCGTGTATCTCGACGGCAGCAGGCGACTTGCTGTCAGCGTGTATACAACCTATGATTCCGCACATTGTCGTGCAGTGTGGCTATTTTTTCGTTTAGCTGATATGCCGTTAGCCTGCACTTGTCTCACAGTTGGAGTACGAAGGACGACATTGTCGCATTGAAAAAAAAAGTCAGGAAGTGAATTTTCTCCACATCACTCAAAGAGTATAGGAAGTCTAACATCTATAAGTGAAAATCACAAGATCATCATTTCATAGCATCGCTGTATATCAAAAAGGTCCAGACTCACTTATCAAGATCAGAGGTTCGGCTACAGCTGTCCACTACCGGATGGCCAGGAAGACCGGACAGTGGGACTGATATGAAGCGGGCAGACTCGGATCTACTTTGCGCGCAACCAATTGACCTAAAAGGAGAAGAGATCCATGGTGACGACTAGCTTGCCGTATGTCAAGAGCTGCTTGCTGGTGCTTACGAATCGCAGGAGAAAGGATTTGCGACGTTTCGTCCATTGTTGAAAGGTTTTTTTTCTGGCACGAAACTGCCCGCATGGCTCATCGTTCCGCATCTGAGCGGAATCGCAGCCACCAAGCCGTTTTTCGCTCCCCCGCCACATCTCTCCTACGCGGTCTCCAATCCGAACGAGTTGCGCTCTTCCATGTGTTTCTCAGTGCGTTATCGGCTTCTCTTCGCAATAACAATGCTTGCCGCCTGCCCGCTGACTTGGGACGCATTTTGGGGCATGATCTGAAAATTCTCCTCCGCATGGCAGCCCTCCCCGCTTTCATGCAGGTACGTCGGCCTCGTCACTCGTTCACGAGAACGCCATCTCTGCAAGGCATCGGGCCATTGACAGACCTCCTATTACGAACAAAGGCTGAGAGTGATACGGCCGCCGTCTATTCCGAAGCCTCTCGTGGCTTGCTATGTGCTATTCATGACGGCAACGCGCAAGCTTGTGCTGCGAAAAGATAGTGAATGAATACGAAAGATCCAACGTTCACAAACTCAAAGCACGTTAGCCATGAAACCTCCCAATCCGTGATGTTCCTCATCTTTGCATACCATCCTGCAACAGTTGTGACAAAAAGGTTTGTGAAAACCTAGTCCTTTGGCATGGACCTGGACCCAGCTTCTAAAGATGGCTGTGATTATCAAGCCACCGCGGATCCGAATCGTCCTGTAGCAAAGAAGGATTATATAGGTTGCGCACCAGATGAAGTTCGGCAAAAAATTGATGAGAACTTGAGCGGTCGCGGGTGGTTGCAACGTAAGACGAGGCCGACTAAGTTCCGGACATATGTTCTCAGTGTAAAAGCATTGTTTTCAACGTCAAAGAATTATATCCGTGTACATCATGATCTCTGTCTGCCATGGAGACTAACACCGTGCCAAAAAAAAGCTCCTGAAGGTGGAGTTGCAACGTAAAATGTACATATTGCTCGCCACGCAGTTGAATTATGACTTTTTGTGAAATACAAAAGAGATCGAAAAAAAAAGAAGACAGATTCATTCGTGCCAGGATTGCGACGTCCAGGTTGGCCTTTCTTTTAACATAGGTGGATGGATTTCCATTCTAGATTGCTTCTGAGTTTTGACCAACAGTAGTCGGATCGCAAAACTCGCTCTGATATTATACAAGCTGCACCTTTAGTTAAGATGCGGTCAGTTTGGGCGAAGCTGCAATAGTACAACTCTAAGCGTTTGACTCAGATAGAGAGCGATCAGAACAAATTCTGGACACGACGTGTCTGGAAAAGCTTCCATAGGAGACGACCCAAAGGCATAAAGGAGCGCTCTAAGTAGACACAGGCGGCGTCGCTAGGCCCGAGCCGCGCTCAGATGGCAGGGCATGCGCAGGCTTCATTTGCGCGTGGAGTCTACGAGTCACGTTCTGGCGCCCATTGCTGCAAGCGCCTCTGTGTATCCGGCGACTTTGGCCTGATTCTGCACGTACGTCTCGTGGTCCTCTCCGAGCGCATACTGGTCGATCTCCAGGCCCTTGGTGGCACAGACGACAGCGCCCTGCAAATCACCCAGCTCCATGTGCCATTCCGCAGCGGCGAAGTAGCGAGCGGCAAGCTCCCTTCCTACCAAGCCCTCAGCGCGCATCAACTCGATGATCTCCATCAGCGCTTCAAGCTCGTGGCTCCGGCTGGCTTGCGTCTCTTGTTGAGAGACGCGTTCGCTGAGAGATTCCATGACACGATCGATGGCTTGTCTCCGTTTGGCGCTATCGCTCGCTGACGGCTGGCCCTCCGCGCATATTGGACATGCACATACGAAGCCGTATGACTCGAGCTTCTGCTGGCGGTCCAGCGTCTTCATCTCTCCAGAGTCGTCGAGGTACGACAAGGTGATCTCCTCATGGGGCTGCACGTCTCGCAAGGTATGCACGTGCATGGCGTTCGCCTGGTCGTTGAAGTTGGCCTGCGCGTTGGGCACGCATTCGTGATTCAGCCTGGCGATCCGAGGAAAGATGGCTTGCGCGTACTCCGAATCTGCATTGAGAGAAAACGCGTTGCTTCGAAAGACGTTCAACAAGGTCTTGTGCTCTCTTAGGCTCGTGATGGATGGAGCCGTCCACGACGACAACGTGTACCTTGCCACATGCACCCACCTCAAGAACTCAAGCCGGTGAGTCGCGTGCGAGCTGAGTCCCAGCACGGTCGCTCTATCGGCGTGATTCAGCGCCAGAAAAGCTGGATAGATGTCCTTTGGCCCCTGCCCGTTCCGAATCCCGAAGATGGGGCGTTCAGCAAAGATGCGAGTTCCTCGAGGGATGAGTTTGGTCGCAAAGACTCCGAGACCCTTGCTGCCGGCTGCTCGTACCTTGTGCATGATATGGCCGCGCGACCAATTGTCGTGTGAGCAGTTACTTTCTTGAGGTACACATTGTCCAGGGGCAGCTCAGCGGCGACTCCGTGCACGGCCTTTATGTCTCCTGCACCGTTCGCTCCTTATCTCAAGCTTAACTGCGCCAGACAACGACAGGCGTATAAAGGCGTGGGAAACCGTAGGCGCAGCCATGGTGGATTCTCTACAGGATGCTGCCAGGACGCGAAGTTGCACGACTTAGCTGTTCACTTTGGAGCCAAGTGTAGAGAACAATCTCTGCATGGCCGACTGTATCCCGAGACGACATACGGACAAGATTTGGAAAGCATAAGTTACTTTCGTTCGCGAAAATGTAAACGTCTTCAAGCGAAAAGGATCCTTCGACCATCGCTCCGCGTAGGGACCTCGTTCATGACCAAGATCATCCAAGCATGACTATGCTGTCGGTTACGTCGCTCATAAGTGCACCGTATACTTGACAAATGTCTCGATTGAAGGCAGCACAACGCCGATCTCGTAGCTATGTCTGTCCAGAAAAGCCGCGAGGGGGCTGCCCGCCTCCTTGAACGCAGCAAAGCAGCACGCGGAAGACTTTGTCCCCGCTATGACTGGCTCAGCTATTCATCTGCCCGTTACGCGCAAAGGGATGCCAGGGTCGCTAAACTCGGCTCAAAGTTGTGAAAGACCTCATCGAAATCGAAGCTCGTCGTGCGACCAGTTGCGCAAAGGAAAAACGATGGAACGAAGCGGCGGTGATAGGAGATATCACGACGGGCTCGGATTGCTGGGTTGAAGGGGGCTGCTGGCATTGGCCGCTGCAACGCACTACATCAACCGCTAACAAAGAGTGTGAACAAAGACATCGACAGGACAAACGTGACTTGATGGTAAAACATAGACTTCTTTAGATTTGTGTTCCTTTTTTTCGGGAGCGTGTTCTGCCGTGCAGCGACAGCCCTCCTCCTCGTTGTCATTATTCTATTAATACCTCGCTAGCCAGCGAGCTGAGCCATCCGAAAGATCAGCGACAATTTGTTTCGGTCCAAAAATTACCAACAAGCAAAGCTCCACCGAGCAAAACGCCTCTCACGATGCATTACGGACCAAGACTCTTCTTTTTTGTGTTCTGTTTTATCAAGCGGATGACATGATCCACAAACTCGGACCCCCAATCCCAAGCACCCTGTGTCTGAAAGCGCCCTTGTAGTAGAAAACGTATCACGTCGCACCAAGATCATCACGCGCGAGGCCGCGCGTTGATGAGTTAGACGTCGGCCTTGACGAAACCACCCACCTTCTTGTTCTTCATGTGCAGTGTCGGCAGCAGGATGGCGGTGACGGAGTACAGGATCGTCAGCGCGATGCAGAACCCCCAGATGGCCTTCGTCTCGAAGCAGTTGGACTTATTCATTCCAGACCAGTACTGGAGGTTGACGGTGCTGCCCTTTTTGTTCCAGTTCTCTTGCAGGCCGTTGAGCACCTCGCCGTCCATGTTCTCGAAGCGCCAGTAGCAGTTCAGGCTGGCGACCGGCTTTCCGACCGTCACGCTGACGACGATGAAGGCGATGAAGATGAGGAAGTCGATGCCTGCCATGACGAACATTCCCATCTGCGCGTTGGCCCAGAAGAAGGAGATGGAAACCAAGGTGTACAAGGTAGCGATGCAGGTGATGACCAACGCGCCGACAATCTCCTGGGACGGGTCGTGGTTGTCCATCACCATGCCGTTGACGAAGTTGGCAGTCATGCCGATGATGATGATGAGGAAGACGAGCTGGAGGGCCCTACATCCGAGAAATGTCAGGCTGATAGGCTTAGCTCCATACGATGGGATGGCCATTGTGATTGGTTTCTGTCAGGTTTACTGCCTGCTAGTTTTGAACGAGTTCTGGCTGATAAGAAAGTTTGTCGAAGCAGTGATTTGTTGGAAGAAGGACAAATCCAAAACCGGTGATTTGCAGAAGAGCTTGCGACGTCACGTTGCGGTAACCGTGTAAGCTAGAGAGCGTGTGTGGTATCTGCCTGCAGATGAAGAGAACGACCGTAGCCTTGCTATATGATCAAAACGTGCTCTGGAAGATGTATTCGCAAGAAGCAAGCAAACGAAGCGTGGTAAGGAAAGTGACAATGTTGGAAGGGCCGCCAAAGGAAAGACTCAAAGAAAATCGTCAGTAAGAAAGGATGATTGAATGATTGTGTCTGAACGATCCAGATCCAGCAGGTCAACGCTGGTCTTAAGTACCTACAAAGCGTGGCCCGAACCGTGGTGTGAGTCTCTTCGACGCCGTCGTGTCTATTCTTGTCACAGCCGTCATTGCGCAACACAAGGACGGCGCAAAAAGAGGAAACACGTCGCCTCGTCCCCTCTCCAGAGTTGACGCTGCGCGTCCCAATGAGAGAGCTCTCTTGTCATTCAAAGACCCGCGGCAAAGACAAATTCTGAGCCCGCCTCGACGTTGTGAAGTGGGTCTCGTACACGGCGGCTACAGAGATTGGGCGAAACAATGCGCCTGGCGCTGCCAGACGCCGTGGGCCAATCACAGCACGGCCCGTCGCTGTCGCGGCTCTTCCTACGGACGAGGCTCAAAATGCCCCGTCGCCTTTGAGCCTCTCGATCTACGTTGCCCAGCAGCATCTGATGGCGGGAGCTCCCGCGAGGCAGTGAACGTCGAACTTTTGCGGATCGTTTCAGGTGCTCTCCGCTGCCGCCGGGTGGAGTCTTCGACCCGTAGCAGCTCTTCGTTCTTCGATGGATTGCACGTCGCAAGGCTCTTTTATTTGCCAGTGTGGCATGACTTCAACAGCATAGACATATGCTTTGTTGGGAACCGTCGCGGCTACGATCTGCCAACTGTTGCATGACGAAGAGACTGATGGTAATATTTGGCATCAATCTTGTCAACAACCGTTGTGGGTGCCAAGGCTGCCAGAGGTCGAGTTGTTCTACGGCGATGGGAAGTGCACAATGTCAAATGCGCATGACAGTAGAGTGAGGCTACGACCTTGGATTCTTCTTCAATTTCTAAGATCCAACCGTTGCAACTAGACCAAATCTTGCATTCTTTTCTTCCAGGGTATCCCGCCTTCACGTCGTTATAAAAAGAGACTGAAAGAACGAAAAACAAATCAAGCAAATTCCACAGGACGAAAGCCGAAGGCTGGTTCCTTGTGGGAGGCTGCAACGCCAATAATAGGGAAAGCAAATGGCCGCCAAGTTTGGTCGCAGTTGATGCTCAGGCAGTAGCATCGCTTTGCTATGTGTCATATCCTTTTTGCTTGCCACTAACGGCCGTTTCTACGCGTATCATAACCCCCAAGACGTTACCAACCCATGTTGCCGCTGTGCTGCGGTACGAAGGCGTCTGGAATCGGCATGCCGGCCATCTCGTTGTTCAATGCCCACCCCAGTGGGTCAAAAAAGTCGTAGCCTGTGCTGAAAGTCATGTCCTGCGGCGCGCTGAGCGGCAGGCTACCGTATGCACCAAAACTCGCCATCGTTGTCACGTGGTCAACGTCGTCCATCATGCTGCTCGATGGTCTTCTACCGTTTGACATAGAGCTGCTCCGGTGCGTCATTGCAATCGGGCTGGTTGGGTTCTTCAACGCGTCCTTGAGCTTGTCACGTTCACCGTGCATCTCTTCCTTCCACCGCCAGACGCTGTCAAACACGTGAGACATGCTCATGCGATATCGCCGCTTCAACGTCAGACTCGAGTCGATCTCGCCGTTTGTGACGCTTTCAGCGATGGGCCCGCCAACTCTCTCGCTGTTGAGCGTATCCCAAGCGTTCCACATCTGGGCAAACACCTCGGCTAGTCGTTGCGGCAGATCGTTCGGGCGTACACTCATCGTTCGGATGCGGTTGATCGCTTCCCAGAACATTTCAACACCAGACTCGCGTTCCGAGTACTCCTGGAAGCCAAAGAATGAATTCAGAAGCTTCAGTAAGGACACCACTGCCGCGATGCACATTTGCATGATGTAATTCGGTGCGTATAGAAGATCAAGCTTGAAGGCAGCATCGAGGAAGTACCTTGTGCTCGTGTGCAGCGCTTGCAGCGCGATGGCATAATCTTCCGAGTCGTGGTTCGCAAAAAATGCCTTTAAATTGAAATGAAGCATCAAGGCGCGGTAGTACAAATTGTCTAAATCTGGAATGAAACCGTTAGCTAGGAAATGGGTCGCACCTCCTCTCTTGACTCACCGTTATTCAGGTCCATGGTCAAGGCGAGTTCCTGCAGCTCATCATTTAATGCCTTGATTGTCTTTGGGGAAGCATCCCCACAATACACTGTCCGCGTTACCTTGTCCACTTTTTGTTCTATCTTCAGGCGGTTCTGAAGAGCTTGTAAAGCGGCTGGCGTTTCACCTACCCGTGGCAGTAACGTCGAGTCCCACACCGTCTCTGGAGGTTGTCCAAAGCTCGTGGCGACATTTTGCGCAACGAGGTTGCAGATGGCCCAGGTTCGTAGGCGATCCTTCACCTGATCTTGCTGGAGATTGATGGGGATGTTGTTGAAGTCCGTGGGGCTGGAAGGTCGATGGATGCCAAGGTGCATGGCGAACTTCATCATGATGCCTGAGTAGACAAACGTCATGTCTTCCGTTGTGCTCGAAACGGGAAGAGGCCACGTGCAAAGCAGACAAAGCGCTTTGACAGCATGATGCTGATCACGAGTCGGCGGCCTGGTGATTGTGTCTCGGACGAGCTTTTCGTATGGTCGCTCGAGACGAGAGAATAACGTGCTGTCAAGGGCAAAGTGTCGCGAAGCGACCATGACAATGGTCCAGAACAAAAACCGCGAACGCTGCAGAACATGGTCTGGGTTGTCAACATCGGGTTCAAGGACAGGCAGATACTCGTGGTAGCGGGTGTAGTATTCTGCCCAGAGGCTATCAATCATGTCAGGCGTCAGTATAACGCTTTCCAACGCCTGCGTTCTGCCCATGGGTGTGATCCTTCCCAGCGGGGTGGCTCTGTTGGGGTCCGACTGTTTGAGATTTAGCAGCAGAGCCGCGTCGTGAGAGCCGTCGTCGGCCGTCGGTGGCGTTGCAGTGAAGTTTGCCATATTTGCTTCCTCGAGCTGGCGCCGCAGATGCTGTTCGTACAAGCCGCCATTCTGGTCCCGCGCAGCGAGAGCGCGCGTGAGCTCGACCACCTGCCTTTGAAGCTCATCGTTGCTGCGTTCCAGCTCCGCCTGTTGCGACCTCTTGCCGACGCGCTTGAAGTCCGCCGTGATGACACAATCCAGCTTGTGTTTGACGCATCGATCGCAGCTCTTCCACGGATTTTCAATGACGTTGCACTTCAGCTGTTCCCTTCGTCAGCACCATCATGTATCATTCGTCCACAGCCGCCGCCGCCGGCCAAGAGGGAGCGGGTGCGCGTGTTTGGGTGATTTTGCTCGGCGAACAGTCATACCTTTTGCTGTCTACACTGGTTGCAGGCCCTCTTTGTTCCGGCCGGTCGCGACTTGCGCGCAGAGCCATTCCGCTGCAGCGCATTGTCCGCTTCGCCCTCTGCGTCGTCCAGGCCCTTCACGCCCTCGTTGAAGGCTGACAACTTTCTCCGCTTCGACTTGGGCACATTTGGTGGGGTGCCCGTGCCGACGTCCTCCTGGGTGACCTGCAGCTGGTCTGGAAAACCGTAGGGAGGAAGTTGAGGGGGCGGACTTTGGAAGACGTTGAGCGAGTCTGGATGCGAATTGGCCAGAACTGAGGCTGCATCCATAGCCACCGATGGTGATACTGCTTGATGTCCGCTCTGTCTCTGATGACCTCCGCTATCGGGGTGCAGCTTGATAGATCGCAGAGTCGCAGATGGTAGGTGGGATGGTGCGAAATCGGGTTGAGGAATTGTGCCTGCGAGCCTTGGGCGGGCGGGGGCGAACCACTTAGAACCAGGCCGGTGCGCGGTCGAATGACTGCTTCCGAACGGCACGATTGCCGAACGGATTCGTCATACATTCCACGGCTGGACAGAAGTCGCGGAAACATTGAATCCACAAATGACCGTAGCCCTTCCTGGCAGGTCTTCTCGCGCTGGCCGCTTCGTGCCACTGGCCGGCGGTTCGTCGAGGCGTTGGCCGATGTAACTCCGCCTCGACGTCTGTACTTGGTACGTTGCACCACCAGCAGCAAGAGCGTGATCTCACACAGTTGACTGGTCGGCAGTCATGGCGATGCGCACCATCTCCAAGACCTTGAGCAACATCCTCGCCCTCGCCTCTGTCTTGCCAGCCTTTTCTATGTCTCTTGCTGCCGGGGTTGCAGTGTCGCATTTCGATTGACACTCTCACATCTTTCACGTGACCGCCTGGACCCTCCTAACATGTGCTTCATCGCCACTCGTCTCTCTGTCTCGTGTTCATCGTGACCCCAAGTCAGACCACGGGTAGTTTTGACTTTGCCCTGTAGAATCTTGTCAGCTGAAAATGGCGATGCAAGGCCGGAGCTACGAGGGCCTTGAACACTCAATAACAGAACCGCGTGGCGTCTGGAATGGGCTGAATTCGGAGTGAGCCGAGAGCTGTACATTGTAACAACACATAATATACACGGGTATCAAATGCTCTTTTGCGCTTAGAATCCAACAGCCTCCTTGACCAGCTTCATCGTTTCGGCTGCGCTCTTCCTCGCTTTCTCAGCTCCCACCTCGGCAACTTCCTCCAGATACTTGTCGTTCTGGATGATCTCCTCGTAACGCTCCCTCACAGGCCGCAGCAGTCCATCAATTGCTTTGCTCGTTCGTTCTTTGATGGCCCTTTTTGATGCGCCTTGCAGCTCTTTTGCAAGCTCGTCAGGACCCCCGTTCACGCGTCCCTCAGCATAAAAAAGCAGCTGTAAAAGGTTGGAGAGACCCGGACGCGTGGCCGGGTCGAATGTGATCGCGTCTTCGGAATCAGTGATGGCTTTGTTGACCTTGCTCTTGATTATGGCAGAGTCATCCGTGATCAAGATTCGCGATTTTTCGTTGAGGTCTGATTTCGACATCTTCTTTGTTGGATTTGTGAGAGACATGATGCGCTTCGCTGGGGCTGCTTTGTGATTAGTCTTCTGGCATTTCCGGACTGGCTGAGGATCATGGACATACAAAGCACCGTTGCCGGCTCGACGAACACTTTCCCGTATGCCCGATTGAACGCTGCCGCACACTCTCGCGCAAACTCCAGATGCTGACATTGATCCTCTCCGACCGGTACGTGGGTCGCGCGGTGTACGAGGATATCCGCAGCCTGGAGCACAGGGTATGAAAACAATCCCAGCTGCAGCGGCGTGTCGAACGGTTTTGCGTTGTCTTCCAGCGCCAGTTTGCTCTTCCACTGCGTCATACGCGAGAGATAACCAACTGATGCCGTGCAACTCAATATCCACATGAGTTCTGAATGTGCAGGCACCTAAGTTTCTCATCAGCAACCGAACGACAATGCGGACTTGGGTGATCAAGATGGATCAGTACATGTGATTGAAAGAAGATGGTCGATTTTTTTGGATCCAAACCGACGGCTAAAAGAACTGCAAGAGACTCCTTCCTCCATTGTCTCAATTGCTTTGGATTCTGCTTCACTGTGATCGCGTGCAGATCGACTAACGAATAAATGTTTGCGGTATCCGCGTCGGCCTCATTCTGTTGCTGCACCCATCTCTGGAGTGCCCCGAAATAATTCCCTAGATGGGGTATACCGGTAGGCTGAATACCAGAAAAGATTACCCTCTTTGGTTTTGCCGATGTTGCCGTCACCTGATGTGTATCTTCCGAGTATGCTCGCCTCTGGCTGGTGACCAAAGAAAATAACGCTGTTGAAGACGAAGACGATGTAAAAGGAGCGACTAGCCGAAACGACGATGCTAACGACCGTCTCGACGATGAATGGAGAAGCATTGAGTAAATTCACAAATGAATGTACGCGATTTGGGGAAGTTCTTTTAACTACGACGGATGTGGAATATCTGCCAAAACCTTTGATGCAAGGATGCGCCGCAATCCACTGCGTCATCCTTGCGGCGTGCACAGCCACGAAAGCGTCCTAATACCTAACATCAGAATATCCTGAATGTGCTTTCCACCCACCTTACGCTGGCATTGTCTCCGTTGCCGGTTGCTCTGATCTGGATTCTTTGAAGTTTGCAAAAAACACCTACACAAAGACTGCATTACACCGCTGCAGAAATGTCGTGGGCAGGTGCGCGAGACGTTTGTTCGATAATGGCAGGCAAGATCCACGGACTAACAGCACACCAGGTTTCAAGAAAAAGGTCGACCGGGCTGCGACCCAGGTCATGATGAAGACTGGTATGCATCGTACCAATCCGCCGAAGACATGGTAGAACGCTGCTGACGGTTACGGGAACAGGCCAGGTAGAGAAGACAAACGACCGCGACTTCGAGACGGAACTCCGCCGGTACCGTACCATGGAGGCAGCAGCAACGAAATTACAGAAGGAAGCAAAGGGTTATCTAGATTCACTACGAGGTACCTAAAAGCACGGTCCCACGGACCACAACACCACCACGAAGGCCGCCGACTAACATCAGATCCCGCACAGCAATGACGGCCTCGCAAATGCGCATTGCGGAGACGATCGACGCGTTCTACGGGGAAGCCGGCGCCCGGGACGGCGTCTCGCGCTCGTACAAGAAGGCCGTCGAGGATCTCGACGCGGAAACCATCAAGGCCCTCGACGGGCCGTATCGGCAGTGCGTGCTGGACCCCATTTCGCGTTTCTGCGCCTACTTCCCGGACATAAACGAGTGCATCAAGAAGCGGTCAAACAAGCTGACCGACTATGACGGGCTGCGCGCCAAGGTGAAGAAGTTGACCGAGAAGCCGGACAAGGACCCCAACAAGCTGCCCATGGTGGAGCGGGAGGCGAACGAGGCGCGAAACGCATACGAGAGTCTGAACACCCAGCTTCTGGACGAGCTGCCGCAGCTGATCGACCTGCGCGTGCCCTACCTGGACCCGAGCTTTGAGGCGCTGGTCAAGATACAGCTGAGGTTCTGCGCAGAGGCCTACAGCCGGATGGCACAGGTGCAGCAGTACCTTGACAAGGATACCAGGGACCAATACGCGGATGGAGTGCTGGATCAGAGGGTTGAAGAGGTTTTGCAGGAGATCAGGGGTCTCAGTATCGCAGGGACAGTATGATGGCTTGAAATGCTAGGAACAAGACAAAAAAAGATCTAGAACGTCGGTGGCATTTGAGTGTGTTGACGGGCGAGATACACCTTATTGGCAAGCACGGAGATGTCATTGCCTTGCCGTGGCAATTTCTCCCAACTCCTGAATTTTGGTGGTATCGGTGGATCAATGGCGAGCTCTCGTACTTCGCTCGATCGTGGAGGAGCTAAGCGAAATGCGTACTATATGCTGGCAGTAATGTACATCTCGACTTGACCAATCCGCCACCGATTGACGTTGGGCAATGATGCTCCCAAGTAATGACAGCGTACGTTTAATTTTGCATAGATTCCGATCTTGCGCGTTGGCAGTTTCAGTACCTTAAAAGGGTCAAGCCGTCGATTTTCTGCAGTCGATGGGCCGACACAGAACTTTTCGCCTCGTTAATAAGATCCTTGAAACCCCCCCTTTATTTTTCTTATTGCATTACACTTTTCGTTTCGCAGCTTATATCTACTGTGCGCTCGTCACGAGCTGGGCACCCCGTTTATGCTGTGGTCTACTGCTGCGCTCGTTATCGTTGCATTTACTCCGCTAGACATGTCGAAAGCCATGCCTCCATTTGCTATGGTTGTTGCATCAATAGGCATTGCCATGGGCTGAGCAGGGACCATTCCATCCATACCGTCATTGAATATAGGGTGCAATGCGTAAACCGGCGCCTGATACTCTTCTCCATTGAACAGCACGAAATTCTGAATGGGCTGTTCCCTTTTGCCCAACACGTTGATGGCATCTTGCGCCAACATACCTCCTAGCGTGGCAGTTACGGGTGCGATTTCGGATCCCAGATTCTGTATAAAGGAGCGCAGGAAGTCGGATTTCAACGTCTCAATGGGTAACTGCAATTCGCGGTGCTTTTCGGTTGCCTTCGTAGTGTACAACTTCAGATCCGCCGGATTGGGAGCGGGTAGACGTCCCTGCTCCGTCTCAAAATCCCATAGCGCTCTTAGACATGGCAAAAGCGGTGTGACCTGCTTCAACTTCCTCCGGTTGTTGAGGATGTCGGCGGGTAGAGGGGATGTGTTGGCCAGCAGGAGAGGGGTATAAATCTCCTGCTTGAGTACCGTCTCCTTGAGCTCGCCTTTCTCGCGCTTGCTGCTCGAAGAGAGTATTGTACGTGTCAGTGTCTCAGGACCGACCTTGGATGGCGCGTTGAATTTCTCGCGCTCAATGGTGAAGGTGTGCTGAATGAGGTCGGCGAAGATGAAGCCGTACATTCCGTGTGTGCCAGCAATGTAGCTGGGCTTGTTGGCCATGCGACGCGCCGCGCTGACTAGTTGAGCGATTGGGAAGGTCAAATCCGTGCCGATGACCAGATCAAAGGGGGAGACATAGGCGACAAGATCGGCCTTGTTCTCGATGTTTTCGGGATCGGCGGTACATCTCACACGCGGGTTGAGCTTCTGAAGCTCTGCAACTGCGGCTTGCGCCCGGTTCTGACCAATGTGCGATTCGTTAATGAGGAATTGGGCGCCGAGGTCATCAGCGGTGACTTGCTCGTGGTCGATGAGAGTAATGGAGTGGATGCCCGCAAGAACAAGGTTCTTTGCCACTTCGTTGGCAAGTGCCTTTACGCGGACAAGCAGGATGTTTGCCTTGCGAATGCTGTCGGGCGTTGTTAGCACCGCTCCGGTTTTCGTATGCATATCACCACGAAGAGCTGGCATAGGGTGTCTGCGGTCGCTGTAGCAGCATGCTGAGCAAGTTGCCAACATTCATGCTACTAGCTCATTCGTCATGCGCGATCCTCAAAATGACGTGGCCGCCGAAGAAGACTCACTTCTCTTGTGCTTGCACTCCCCAGAGTCTTATTTGTCTATCGTACAACGCAATTTCGTCTAGCCACGCGTCAGCTGCACATGCTGCAGTAGAAGTGACAGGAAGGAGGTAGCTGTGGCTGACCTGCGCTGATACCAGCTTGGTCTGGGGCTTCCACGTTGGAAGCCATAGTATAACCCGTCGGAGGTGGTACTCCTGCGCCGTTCTCGTGGGAGGGAGGCTGCTGATCCATTGAAGCTGTGGTAGGATCCGTTGCGTGGATGTGAGTGACTGTGAATGTGCGCGCAAGTGCGTGGGTTCGCGGTTGTGGATTCGTCAGACAGTAGATTTCAGTAGTCGACGATGGCGAGAGCGAGGTCGAGGGCAAAAATCAAGGCAGAAAGCAGGGCGAGGGCGGCGGGGTGACCATCCAAGACATTCAAGACATTCAAGATGAGGACCGGCAAGTTGCGTGCGCACGTCGGCATGAGCAGGCCAGCGTGGTGAGGCCTCCGCTATCGTCGTCGTCGTCGCCGTCGTCGTTGTCTTGTGCGGCAGCAACCAAGCTCGAAGACAGGAACATGGACGCACCACCAGGGTCTCGCGTGCTTGCGCCAAGCCTGCCTCAGCGGGCGCTGCCCTGGAGCGAATATGCGAGGCCAGCGCGGGGTCCTCTCGCCATTGGCGGACGCCCCAAGTACGTGCATCGCATCACCTGCAGTCACTTGTTCAACGACATACCTACCTGCGCCGGCCACCATCACCGCTCAATTCACCACCTTCTGTCTTGCACAGCATAGACATGACTCGCTGGACGAGCGCGCTTCTTGCACTGCACTCAATAGCGTTGCCATCACAGCCGAGAATCGGATCCGCATACCTGTAGCGTTGTTGCAGCACGTGTATGCGACAGTGGCCTCAACTTGCGGCTCACCGATAATCACTTCGACGTCTTCACTTGGACCTGTACTGCATTCGGCATTGAAGGTGTCGGCGACAGTATCCACACTTCCAGCATTAGAGACGATTTGCCAACTTCGAGGCGCCTTTATCGATAGAAGCGTCCTGATACAATGTCTGGAGGATTCGACTTCCCGCCCGCCAGCGACACGAGCACCCCTATCGGTTCCCTCACTCAACGCTTCGACAACCTGCGCCAGACCTTTCAGTCTGACCGCTCATCTCGCCCACATATAGACCACTACAGTCCGTCGAACACCAGCACCAACTCTCAATTCCTGCCGACCCCCCCACCTACCATACCCCGGCCCCGACGACGTATCGCACATCCAAGGGGCATGTCCTCGTCCACTACAAGCAATAGTAGTGTAAGCAATGGCTTACGACCACGGTCTGCCGGGTCAGCCCCGAGCCCGGGTTTTGCGTCGCGTTGGAGGCAGCTTGCGGAGGGGACGAGGGCGCACATGCGAAGGCTACGTGAAGAGATGAGCGAGGAGAGCGGAGGAATTGCAGGAGAGCTTAGGGAACGCAGAGATTTGCTTGATAGAATGAGCGAACACCTGGATGGTATGTTGCCTTATGTCACTTCCACGAAGCACCAAATGCCCTTTGGCTAGACGTTGGTGGGGCTTCAAGATTCGTGCTGAAAGTGAATTCGCAGAAGCCGAGACAAGATTACGAGGTATAGAAACTGCACCATCTCCTCCGACAACGAATTCGAGTAGTGTGCCGTCGAGACGGCGTTCTCATAAGCGACGAAAACTATCTCGAGACCACGAACCCTCCATACAAAGTACGTCAGTCCTCGAACCCTACGGTCGTTATGGTCAGGTAGTTCCTGGCCAGCTTAAGATGGAGATCGTTTTTTGTGACGGCGGCGAATATCCTGGAGATCCACGCTCAGGAATGTTGCATATGGAAGGCGGGAACTACCGCCCAGAGAATGTGCTGAGAAATGATGAGAGCGTGTACTGCACCCGTAATTCGCGGTGTAATCTGATGCTGAGGCAGAAGGGCGAGGCCCTGTTCCACCTGGAGAGCCTGATCATTGCAGCACCAAAGAGGGGTTATACTGCACCGTACGTTTCTTTCTTCGTTGCTTTCGAGCCTTGAATCGAAAGGACTAGATCAATATTAACTCAGAATGGATTGTAGGATACAGCAGGGTCTCGTGTTCGTGGGCATGTCTGCAGAAAAGCTTGCCACATCAACAGCTAGCTATTCGATATACTATCCAGATGATACATCATCACCCGCAACTCAAGGTCGGGTGACACGCTCGCCTACTCCATCTGCAGCAATGTCGTTTAGATCGAACCAACATATGCAGAACCCAGGCGCGCCCCCGCCCGCTGCAGCTCCGCTTCCACCACCTCGTGACTCTGACCGTCTTTCACTTCTTGAAGCAGTAAATGATGACCAAATTTGGCAAGCCTCTCGTAGCCGCTACAACCTGGCTGAACCACCGTACATATTACCCCCACCCCGCCCCAGTATGCGCGCTCAATACCTGCATGCTCCTAGTGGCCTGTCAATGGGCGCGGATGGCCGACTGGTGCCGGAAGAAGAGGGCGATGAGGAGCGAGAGCGTGCGACGACAATGGGTAATGAGTGGCCAGATAATTGCGATTGGCCCCTACCACCAATGCATGGAGGCGCGAATGAAGAACCAGGTGAAGCGGCCGACGAAGGCATTACACGTGCACCGACACCGCCTCAGCCTACATTTACCGTCACGACAGTGATGGAGAGCTCACAATCGTCAGCCGCTTCTTCAGAAGACGAGAGCGAGCAAGCTCAGCGCAGGCGCGCAGCACGTGAATCAAGCTACGGACTTCCGTATGCGCTGCCCTCTCTGCTACATCTGAACCCCACACAAGACGAGGACACGGCATCAGACACGGACCCGGATTTCACGCTCGAAGGGGCCGAGGATGCACACATGGGACTTAATTACCGACACAGAAGCATGAGGGAGATGTATCGCCGCCGCCACGGCCCGTTTGCACGCCCAATTCGACGTAGTAGTCCAGGCAGGATTGCAAGGATAAACATGGGCGAAGTCGATGGAAATGACGAGTGCATAGAACCGAATGCGAGGTTCTTCATGCCCGAAGGCGACTGCAGGATCACGATCCGTTTTACTCCACCCATGTAAGTTTCTCTTTGAACAATTTTTTTTTCCTCTCCGCTCTCTCCCTCTTTTTGCTCTGTACCTCCGAGTTATCTGCAGCACATGCAACGAACATCGGACCCTTGGCTAACGTATGCTCTGTCGTGCAGATCGGGCAAATTCATCTTGCTCAAGCTGTTCAGCCCCCAGCTGAGAGACGGGGGCAACATCGATATCGAGTATGTGGCTGCGCATGGCTACTCGGGGCCTCGATTCTTCCCGAGCTTGGAAATTAAGTGATGTCTCAGACTCCGGCGATAGCAAAGCGGTTTGATTGATGATTGTACTCGAGACTTTGACGAGACCTTTTTTTTTCGCTTAGCATCACTGTCACATGTTTCTTTTCCTTGGAGCAGCGGCTGGCCGGCCCTCACTGCGGCCGGCCCTCACTGTCGCCGCCTGCTGCGAGTGAACCAAGAGGTTTACCGGGAAATATAAATCATACGTTCATGAAACACCTAGACCAGCGAGCATGAGAAAGCTATTTTATTAATCTTCAATGGTTTCTTAGACCTTCTGCAAGCACTTTTTTATTTGCCACCCTTCTCATTTCTCCTTCTTGACTTCATCTTGACCGCGAAACCTCGTCCAGCGATGGCCGAACTCCCTGATTAGCACCTTGACCAGCGGTAGCCCAACTAATGCAGCACCGAAGAGCACGGCGATGACGGTGCCCAGCTCCACGTACCAGCTCCGGTCCAGGTCGAGGACGGGCACGTCCAGGCGCCGGACCAACTTCGCCGTGTGCGCGCCGTCGGCGGAGGCGGCGGGCGTGAAGTGAAAGAAAACCGTCTTGGGCCCGAACAAGCCGTCGTAGCCCAGGTTGACGCGGTCGAAGGGCGACGAGGGGAATTTCCCGTACTCTTCTGCTGGGCAGGCCCAGAAGAGGACCGGGTCGGGGACGTGGACGGGGCGCAGGCCGCGGCTGGCGTTGCCTGCGGGTGGCAGGTACCGGAGGTGCAGGGGGATGGTGAAGCTGAAGGAGCTGGAGCCCTTGATGGCGGCGTCGGCGGTGTCGACCTCGAAAAGGGCGGCACTTCCCCACGCCGGGGTGAGGTAGTCTGGCGCTTCTAGATCGGTGGCGCCGGAAAGGGCGTGCAGTGCTTTGAGGGAGTTAGAGCGCAGGAAGAGGGGGTCATTGAGGGGGTAGCGATCTATGAAGAGCGTGGAGGGGATCGTGAGGTACGTGTGCAGAGCACAGTGAGGGAGGGGGGGCGACGCTGCTGACGACGCCGTCGGGAGAGTGATTTTGAGGGTTGGATGGAGACCTGTTGGGGGAGGAAAGGACGTGAAGAACGTGGAAGACGATGGGAGCGGGTGGTGGCGAGCCGGGAACGAGAAGAGCACAGGTGCTGTAGGAAAGCATTTGTCAGCACTTTGTAACTAAGCTATAACGTGAAAGCAAGTGACAGTCTTACATGGTTCCTTGTCCTTTCCAACCTGCGTCAGGACGCCGCTGTACTTGAGCTCCTCATCCTCGTCCGGCTTCTCGTTGCTTAGAACGCCCACTTCGAGCGCTCCGTCCCTCGATGAGAGGTGGTGTGTTTCGTCCCACGCTGAATCTGGCGAGGTGGACCAGAACGCTTTGAGAATCAGAGCGTGCGAGATACTGTTGTAATCCAGGTCGACATAGTCTGCTGTCAAGAGTCCTTGGGCTAAAGACTTGCAACCGAAGTCATCAGACGTAGGACACACTTCGCGGACAAGACGATCCACCAGTGGCTGGAGGCTGGCAACGTAACTGTAGAACTGCCTCGACGCAGAGTGTGAGAAACGCCCGGACAGAATGGGCGGCGTGGTGAAGGAGGTCTGAGCGAGAGAGACTGATCAGCACCTCCGATCCTACGTTCAAAGCCGGAACGCGGAAGGGAAAAGAAATGTATATATCTACCTCAACGCCGTCGCATTTCACGTCATCCCCAAACACTGCGCGGATGTGGTCGCACAACGGGGGCCTAGGTTACGGTCAGACACAAGGTCAGTCTTTTCATGAGAGCGAGCCTCTCCAGCGGCACGTACGCATCCTGGTTTTTGAGAGGAGAAAAGAAGACGTGCAGTCCGGGACTGATCCGCGACGCGTACGGCGCCGTGGCCTCGTATGGTCGGTCTGAGCCCCATCGGACGTACAGCTCGTGCGAGCCCGTCAGCAACTCTCTCAACTGGAACGAATTAGCTGTGAAACTCGTGATGCTGGGGCAAAACGCACCTCGTCTGGCAACTCGTGCATGCCCAACGTGATATGGTGTTCTTTGGCCCCATCTAGAGCGGCCACGGTCAGACTTGTCTTGGTGACCTTGAGGTTCGAGGGATCATAGCCCTGGACTGGGTCTTTGACAATGTACGTGATCCTCTGCTTCATTTCAGGATGTCTGATAGCTACTCGACGCTGGCGTACGGGGAGGCGGGATACTTAGTTTGATATCACGTGGAGGCGCAGGGCAAGGTCAATGCACTGTTGCCTCGTAGGGAAGCAACGACAGAAGCTAAAGTTTGTTCTAAATGTCACAGCGGGAACTAACTTTCTCTAGACTGTTTGGCAAAACTTGGACCGTTCATATCCTCAAACTTTTTATTCTGCATTTGATTTTTGCTAAAGGTCTATACGAACGCCATCTAACGCAAAGCGCGCCCCTTCACTTCTATTCACGCAGGGCACGAGGTATCAAATGCAAAGGCCCAAACAGCCGGAAAAACCTGCAGCCGCACCAAAAAGGTGTGGACAATCTATCGTGGTGCGCCTGCAGAAGACTGCGCCAATTCGGCGCCAATGCATCCCTCATCGGATTCCAAAATCGCTTTTCCGGGCTTCTTCCTCGATGCTCAAGTCGGGCTTTGCAACTCGTCCGCACTAACACTACCTGCTGTCTGAGGTGGGCTCAAACAGCTCCGGTTGAGACCATCTTCTTCCGCAGGTAGTCCTTGTACTCTGCAATTGTGCCGTCCCATCTTCGCACAGTCTTGTTCTCGCACACCATGATATCTTTAGCAATCTTGTCAAGCAATCTGCAGCCATGTTAGTGCCCTATCTAACCGCTTCCTTTCGTTGAATCATACCTGAAATCGTGACTGACGACTACAACACCGCCAGAGAATGCGTTGATAGCGTCAGCCAAGCTGTCAATCGTCGGAATATCAAGACCGTTCGTCGGCTCATCGAGCAAAAGCATGTTTGGTCCCTCGATAGCCAATAGCGCGAACACCACGCGGCTTCGTTGACCTTCTGATAACGTACCCATGAGCGCAGTCTGGGCCTCGCCAGTCAAACCGTATCGACCGAGCTGCTGTCGCCAGTACTGGTAGTCTTGCGACTTGGCCGCGTACTTATCGCGCACAAAGTCCAGTGCCGACTTGGTGAGGTCGAGCTGATCGGCGGAATGCTGTGAGTACATGCCAAGCTTCAAGTGAGTGTGTCGCGACACGGTGCCCGATGTTGGTTGCAGCTTGCCTGTGAAGATTCTGAGGAGGGTGGATTTGCCGACACCGTTTGGTCCGACAAGCGCAGTTCGCGAGTCCATGTCTACACCGAAATCCAGGTTCTCGTACAGATTGTCTTCGCTTTTGCCGGAGTAGGAGAAGGTAACGTTGTCGAGTGACAGTACGGGCGGCGGCAGCTTCTCGACATCGGCGAAGCGGAAGGTGAACACTCTATCTGGGATGACTGGCTGAATGAAGCCGTCTGCCTCCATCTTGTCCAGAATCTTCTGCCTCGACTTGGCCTGCTTGACCAAGTTTGCATACGTACCGGCCGAAGCAATGAATTTCTTGATGTGTTTGATTTCTTCTTGTTGCTTCTCATATGCCTTCATCTGATTGGTCTCCTGTTCCGACCGCGTCTTGATGTACGAGTCGTAGTTACCGCCATAGTACAGCAGCTGCTTCATGCGCATGTCGATCATGTTTGTGCACACGCCGTTGAGGAAGTCTTGCGAGTGAGAGACGAGAATGAGAGTGCGGTCCCACTTCTTGAGATACTCTTCCAGCCACACGCAAGCTTCGAGATCTAGGTGGGCCGTAGGATCATCGAGAAGAAGGAGAGCGGGCTTGACAAAGAGTGCCTTTCCGAGGGCGACGCGCATGCGCCAACCACCGGACATGTCCTTGGTTTTCTTGTTAATGGTGGTCTTGTTGAAGCCAAGACCGGTCAAAATGAGAGAAGCACGGGTTTGGAACGTCGATGCGTCCATGCCATCGATTCGCTGTCACGATTTAGCACATTCACCTTTCCAGACCGATGGAACCGGGTACCCACGTCGTAAATGTCCATAACGATCTGACTCTCCGGGCCCTCCTTCTCGGCCAACTCTTCAGCAAGTTTTTCCAGCCTCTCGACCTCTTTTTCAGCCTCCTTCACGACCCACTCTAGAGCGCCGAGGTTGGATGGTGGAGCGCCCTCGTTGAGCAGGTAAATATCGATGTGCTCTGGGAAGGGAAATTCTCTGGCGTAAATGGCTCGTAGCAAGGTACTTTTGCCGCAACCGTTCTCGCCGAGCAGGCCGTACCGCCGACCATAGTTGACTTCAAGAGTTGTGTCGTTGAACAGCACTCTGCCGTGGAACACCAAGCTGGCGGACGTGATCTTGACGTCGCGACTCGACTCCAGACTGGCGAGCACGCCAGTAGTAACACGGTCGCTGATTCCCTGAGCGTCCTCTTGCAACTTGAGTCTCTGCACCTTCTCGTCGACCTCAAGCTCGTCGGCATCCATCATGGAGGGGCCATCCTCGCCGTTGACAGACGACGCCTTGGAAGCAACATTTGAGTTTGCTTCGGAGGCGACTTTGGACGTCGGCTTCTTCTTTTCACCGCGCTTTGCCAAGCGGGCTTCCTTAGACTTCGACGGCATATTTTTTTTGGTCAAGGGAGGGGGGAGGGGGAGGGGGAAAGGGATATACGTCAAAGAGAGTTGTGTCGAAAAAGGCTTTTGGGTTGGAAAAAGTGGGATGCGCTGTATAAGGCTGCGTCCGCCTATCGATAAAAATCCGGACTGGTGGATCCTGAGCAGCTTTTCGTGGCTGTCGAGAGGGAGGGGGGAGGGGCGGAAGGGAGACAACAACGACGGGGTTTTCTTGTGACGCACTCTGCCGTGTGCTTTTCTTCCTCTTCTTTTCTTTTCTACGTAAATGCGCGCCACACCTGTTTGGTTCTTTGGTAGCGCACTAGTTGGGAACAGACTTGCTGTGCGAGCGCTTTCGAGCGCGGTTTTGCCGCCAGCTGCTGCGCGGGTGGCGAACGCAGACGACAAGAGGGCAGCGACCACGGAAGCCTGAGAACAGGAGCCGTGAAAGGTTTTTTAAAAAAGAGGGCACGAGGGATATATATATATATATATATATATATATATACCAAAAATTAGAGAAGAGCAAAGGGAAATCGGTGCCCGAAATTCTGCGTCGGTCCAACAAAGAAAAAAAAAATCACGGGCATCAGGACGTCACAACTTTCGCTTTCTGATTTCAGCCAAATTTCTCTGTGGCAGGGATGCGAGGATGGGCCTAATGGATGCCTGAGCTCGGAGGCAACAAGGCTTACGTATGGAGGTTGCCTCTTTGTCTGTAGAGGCGAGGAACCGGCGACGGCGATCACTGTGCGTTGCACGGCTTGCGAGCTTAAGCACACCCCGTCGGTGACGCTCTCTGGTGCGCGATCACAGTTCAGGTTCATGCGCGCCACGAGCGGACGGAGCTTGCTCAGGCTGGCGGACTGCCCGTTAGGCTTGAGGTGGCTTTAGGCGTTTTGAGATCGAATCGCGTCCGGGCCGTGTTCTAAAGCAGTGAGACGAGCAGCTCGGGCACGACAGAGATCGCAGCCAAAGGCACTACTCCGACGCTGGATTTGACAAGCCGGTCGTCGCATCTGCTGGAGACGAGCCCCTTCTCCAGCAGTCCGTGCTCGACCGCTCGCACGGCCATGGCCCGGTGCATCACTACGCTTTAGGAAGATATGGAAACACTGGCTGGAGAAACTTTGACCTCGTCTGTGATTGTCGAGCAATCTGTCTATCGCCTGCGGCCAAAGGAATAGGGTGCCGCAAGGAGACCACTACCTCGTTCGGCAACCGGGTTGGCTGCCGTCGCGCAGGTGCAATTTCGCCAGTTCCACCTTTATGCCAACCAAACCGAGCCTCATGACCTTTCCATCCCAATAACCATGCTCGTCATACGAATGCGAATACACGTCTTCAGAGCCCCCATCCAAGTAAAGATAAACGCCTCGCTTTTGCTGCCCTCGCAGCGCTCAAAAAGAGCAGACACCAATGCTGATAACGGTATCACGTACGCCACGCAAATATGAAAATCGTGTCCACAAATGTCAACAAACTTCTCAACGAATCAAAAAAAATATAGACCAATGACACCGGCCAGCAAATGCCAGCGGTTGGCCAATCTCACCGAAACGGATTCGCCAACTGTCTCAGAATGCTGCGCTGTTCAGACTGCTGGCTTGGCTCAAGATGGGCATTTGCCCTCTGCGTTTGCGTCGCTGATGCCGGAATCGGCGGCGGGCTGGGAAATCCGCCATCAAAGTCTGTGAGTCGCGGCAGCGTCGGTGGCGGGTCGGGCGCCCTTCCGAACAAGGAGCCCGCCGAGTAAGGTCCCAGTGCAGAGGGAGGTCGTTGCGGGGGCGACTCCGTCAGGTTTATAGGTGCGAGAGCGGAACCGGAGAGGGGGCTTGCTCTGCTACCTGAGCGGGATTGTGAAAACGAAGGGTTACTTGTGCCGCCGAAAATGACGTCGGCTCTGCCCGTAGTCGCCGCAATGGCGTTGTGATCGTGATTATAGTGGTGCTGAGCACCAGTAGTGTTATCCATGTTGACGCCGTAATTTCTGCTGTTATTATGGATGCTGTTGCCGATGTTGCGAATGCTGCTTCCGCCGCTGCTATCCCTTGAGGAGCTGCTACCTATCTGAAAGCGCAGAGGCCCGTTAGTTCTGTTTGGGAAACTCGAAGCATGGCTCGGGTACGAATACCCGTTCGTCCGGCCAGACCGGCTTCCATGATCGGAAAGGCTATTGGGTGTATTATACGCTTGCCGCTTTGACGGTGGCTCGTCATCGTCATCACTCAACGTCAGATCGATAACTTCAGACTTGCGCTTCTGGCCCTGTGAGGGCCTTGATGGTGCTGAGTTGCTTGCCATAGGCGAAACCCCGGGAGGCGTGGGAGCGACCATGGAAAACGGAGTGACCGGTGTGACATTTGTCCCGAATGATTCTTTCTTGATGGGTTTGGCCACTTCTACGATGTCATCGTTGGAATCTTCGTCGGCGGAGTCGTTATCGAATCCATTCCGGCCTGCTGGTCCATCAGATGTATTCGCTGACCACCGGCCATCCGGTTCAACTGTGACTTGATATGTGGAACTGCTCGTATTCTGCAGGATATCCTCGAAATACCTGCCTCGCGTTAGCCTGGAAACCATTTGCTCTACGTACCGTGTTTCTCACTGGTCGACGACAAGGCCTTCGAAAGACACGACCTTGTTGCAGATCGGACATGTCCAGGTAGGCGCCTGCTCCTGCAGCTGAAGGAAAGAAGCAGCATCAAAGCATTGGTGATGGGAGCAGACGTCGGATCGACACGGTACAGATATTCGCATGTACGAGACCGGATCCTTTAGCGACATGACGCTAGAGCTCACAACGATATCAGGGTCTTTGGCTCTCATTTGCATCTCACTAAGGACTTTTTCTCGCGTGATGACCTTGCCATGCTTGATACGCGTGACTAGCTCGTCGACCGATCGCTTCTTAACAAGCAGAGCCATTAACGTGAATGCCTAAAATATGTAATTTTAGCCACTCTGATCCCACAAAACATCTTCTGAAAATAATCAAACTTGCGCATCTATATGAGACGGTAAGTCACCGACCTTCTGTGTCAACGCGTACGTAACTTGCACTCGGTTCGTGAACTGCGGTTGTTTTGTGACAAAGCCCGTCACATCCGCCGGCCGCGTTGAACCTGGCTTGTTCTTCACTCCTTTGAAGTTTGCACGCACTTCCTGTTCGTTGACTTTGACTTCGAGCTGTGTAGGGAAAGATATATCTTGTGGGGCTATAGCCGAGGAGATGTCGTCCGGTTGGGCTGCGCAGTAGAGGAGCACGCGCAACGATGAGTCGGCACGCATACGGTCTATGTTGTGCTGGGAGAGTATGAAATTAATATAGACTTGATTTCGGTGATTTGGATAGGGCGGCAAGTCCACGGGGCGCGCGAGAGGCTCAAGAATTTCAAAGAATGGGCTCGCGCGGAACCATACGCCTGTTTTCCAATGGTTAACGCTTTGTTCCGAAGCTGCACATGGCCGCGTGAACCAACCACTCCCGAAAGGATTACGAGATAAGCTCCCTGTGCCGTTGGAATATCCTGAGCCTGAACTGCCGGAGTAGCTTTCGGCTCCCAGTTGCGAATGTGTTGACGTGGTAAGCGGTGGCAATGGGCTTTGGCTGACTGCTAAGAGAGAATTGCGCATGTGATTGAGCCCGGCAATGTTGTTTTTCCCGACCATCACGTCTATGCCTGCAAAGAAGGACGAGCGGTCAGCAAAAGGCTGCAACAATCGAAGGGAGAAAGCCGTTAAAAAGTGGCTGAGAGCAGATCCCATAGTTGCGAAGATGATATGAAACACTCACGTTGCCTTATCCTCTGCTGAAGTAAACCTTTTGTGCCAGAGACCGGTAGCGACTCATCTCGGCAAACGTTCTTCAAATCCGCAACCAGGAGCTGGTACACCTGGTCCTTCATCGCCTTTATAGCGGCTTCGCTGGGGGCCATGATGTTCGTTTTGCACAGATGCACTTCCTAAGCAAGAGCTTGTGCCAGCAACGAACGAGATAGTTAGGCCCTTCCTGCCTGTGCACAGAAAATTGGTCGACGGAGCAGCCCGTTACCGATTGGCCGTGTGGGGGAGGCGAGACTGAGCACAAGGAGTTTGTTAGGCGATGAGCGCAGGCGGACGCAGAAGCAAAGTCTTGGAACGTCTTCGTCGTCGTCGTCGGCTAGGCAACGGCAGGCAGTTCGACATCATTCGACACAGAAGGCGAAGTGGGCCAGTATGTGCGAACCAGAATCTACAAGGCGATGCAGCCAAAGCCGCCGCGGTCTCTCAAGTTTCTGCTCGCGTGCGGACAGCACTGCAGAATTTGCCGTTAGAACGTCGATTGTTGAGCGAGAGGACTAGCCCCGCCTAACATGGCCACGGGAGCGAAGTCGAGCTTCTAGAGAAGAAGGAGATGGAACAACGGAGCAAAGGCGTCGCCCTGCAGACGTCGTCGGATGTCTGCTGTTCGAAGGCCTGATGCTCAGCCTCAGGCTCGCAAGCTCATTGCACGCTCGCGCCCACTTTTTCCCTTTGCAGACTTCCCATGGACAAAACCACGCACACGTACGGAGCAGTTGTACATGTGCTTACCAAGACGTCATTGTGTCTGTTTCTGTGCTTCGGTGCTTGGAAGAATCAGTAGCTATCTTGAAAAACATCCGAACCTCCTTCAATGGACCAAAATCGTTGAGCTGCCCTGCCCTGTGTCGAGCGTGGGTTATCTTAACGTGACACGGGCTACGACAAACTTTTTTCACTAACTTTGTGCAAGTCTTTCAGTCATGCCTTAGTCGATGCGTTTTAATGCAATTCTGACCGACATTCGCTATATGGGAATCCTATGATTCTACTCGCCAGACTTTAGGGGCCTTCGGTCAGTGTGCCTGGTTCGTGTCGACGACTTGCTCTCATGCTTGATAATTTTTCCATTTATTCTTTGAAGATGCTCTTCTATCGTTCAACTCGTAACCCCCTCAGCAGCTTCGAGAATTGGCAACCGAGCCCGACTTCAGTGTCTGGGCGGGAACTCCAGCCGAAGACTTCTAAATGCTGAAGCTTGAAGTCGATACTAGCAAGCGTCTTGTCCAGACACCTTCGTCGTCCTGCATAGAAACATGAACTTGGTGTATGGTGAAGAACGTCCGACTCAGCCATTATGTCTGCTGTCGCTCGAAGCCTCATTTTATTCGTCCGTTATCCGTATCAACTTGGGGACAGACAACAGGGTAGAATACAACAACGAAGAAAGCCGCTACAAACATGTGTTAGGATAGCGTGAATACAGAGGTACCTTATAAGAAAGAAAATATGGCCTTTGTTCAGACTACAACACTGGCGCCAGATAGGCATCTAGAAGCAGAACATGCCTAGAGAGAGCTGCTAGGCAACAGCGTCAAGGCCATGGGCTTGAACAGGGTTTCGAACAGCACGCCCTTCTAAACAGACGGAAGCAGATGTGACGAAACAAAGCTCATCTCCAGAAGCACACAGATGTTGCGTTTGGAGGAAGAGGACTGTCTAGGCGCGTTGCGAGTGACGCACGCATGTTGAAGGCGAAGATCTGCTCACGGACTAAGTTGATTAGATCCCCACGGTAGTCAGCATATTACCACTATCCCTGCCACTTCCCGCATCTTTTTTTTTTTCTTCCTCTCGACAAGACTCGCTCGACCGCCGATTATTTCACGGTCAATTTTCACGACCTTTGTACCACCTAACTTGCACGACGCCGCAAGCAAAGGCTCCTTGCAAAGAAGCTACAAGATGGCCAAGGGATTGCGAGCCAGTGTGAACAAACGCAACAAGAGCAAGCTTCGCTCGCGAGTTTTCGGTCCAGTCGAAGACGCACGCACAGAACGCCTTTCAGCCAAACTACTCGAACTCGCCCAGCAGCCAAAACCCGTGCGAAGCGAGATGGAAGTCGACGGGTCCGAAGGGAAGGGTATGTCTTCGCTGAGGCCTTCAGCCTTTTCCCTCAAATTCACTACTAACCTTCCTTTTGCAGAGGAATCCACATCTGCAACCTCCGAGAGCAAGGCAGCAGCCGGAGATGAAGAAGGTCAGTCTTCTACGGAGTCACGACGTGCTTTCTTCTACCCAATCCCTGCCAGTCTCTGTTGCGGAGATGGCAACATCAGCAGTGACGAGAGCGGTTCTGAGCAAGAAAATTTGCGTTGTACGATACGAGAAGATGGCATGTCCACCGCTTGCCACGACGGCAGCGAGGAGTTGTTCTACGCTTTGCTGGGTCTCAGCTCTGACGTTGCAGGCTTTGATGCTTGGGGAGATCTGCAGATGCTCTTCGAGTACTGTTGATCGCTCGCTTTGTTTGTTTTGTAGTGTGCACTGCATTCTCACATTGCACGCCTCCCGCTCCCCGCAGTTGCAGCACTACAGCACACACCCATACCACTGCTCTGCGGGCACCAAGGCTAACAACCTCAGACATGGACATCGACGCTTCGACGGCCCCAAAGATCAAACCGGCGCACTCGTCCTCGTCCAAAGACGCGAAGAAGGGCCGTCGCAAAGTGGAGAAGAGACGCCATCGCAAGGAGAAGAACAACATCACTTTCAAAAAAGTGAAGCCCAGGCGGACCAAGGACCGTATTGGACGCGCATGACCGATAATTGAGAGAAGAGACAAGATCAGGAAACCCAAAAAAAAACACTTTTCTTCTGGCGGGCGTCAAATTTTTTTCGGCGAGGCTTTTACTGAGTGTATGAAATGATACCCATACATATTGAGCAGCAATCTTGCATGGCGAGTTCGGGAAATATATAATGAACGAATGAAGGTTTTCCAAACATTTGAACCCCGTACCTTCTATATTTTTTTTTTTTGAACCAACGATTCATGGGCTTCAATTTCTGTCTCTCTTCATTGCATTTCTTGCATATTCTTCCCAGTCACTTCAGTCTGAGGACGCACGGGACTTGTAAAATGTCATTTCCCAATGTCGGCGCCAGCAAAAATATCATTGCAGAGATTTCTCGCGATGACGATGTGTTTTCATTCGTAGAGTATTACTTGTATTGATGGACACCGCCAATTCTTATCCAATCTACCCCAAGAGGTATACTTCCCACACCAGCAGAGAAAAAAAAAAAAAAAAGAACTCATTGCAGCTTTCCATCCCAAACTCCCCAAACCCCCTAAAACCTTTGCGAATCTAATAAGTCATGCTAATCGGCAGGTCCCTGCTTGAAAATCCCAACTCGATCTTGATGCTGTCCGGCCCCTGCGGGAGCACCCAGTTCTGCCTCACCGTGCTCCAGAAACTCAAGTCCTTCCTGTTGAGCTGCATCTTCACATCCGCGCGTCCGTTCGTAGTTTTGATCTCCAATTTTTGGAAGTTGCGAAGCACCCTGACGGGAGTGTTTGTGAAGACCTCGCCGGTCTCGGGATCAGTGTAGTTCGCTGGCAGGGAGACGTATAGCTGCACCACGCATTTGCCCGCACGATCACCCGTGTTGGTCAGAGTTGCGTGGACCTCAACAAGAGGTGTATAAAGGTCCGGGTTGCCACCTGGCCCTCCACCTGCAGGTGACGGCGTCGATGTGGAGGCGTAGTTTGGTGGGTATTGCGGTTGGCCCCCTGGAGAAAGATCCTTTGTGTCCTCAAGGTAGGGGTAAATGTACTTCCGCAGCTTACGAAATTTGTGTGGGAACAGTGCGGAGCGAACGTCTGGCAGTTTAATGGGCAGCGTCGGGGGATGTACACCTGCAGGTCGAGGTGCGGGAAGCAGTTTGTTACGCTCTGCGCTGTTGAGGTCGACAATTCGACCTGAGGACAATTTCCACGTGGTGTATGATAGTCCAAAGCCGAATTCATACCGCGGCTCAATGCCGTAGTAATCGAAGTGACGATAATCAATCAAAAGGCCCTCGCTAAAATTCTGCTGCGGAACTAAAGTCTTCGCATCATCGAGTATGCGTGCGGAATCGCCGTAGTCGTCCAGGGACTTGCCCATCGTGTATGGCAGTCGACCACTTGGGTTCACGTCTCCAAAAAGAACGTCTGCAAGAGCGTTGCCGGATTCTTGCCCTGGAAGGTTGGCGAGAACGATTGCTTTCACGTTTGGAATGTTGACGAAACTCTCGACGAGCACCGGTCCCACGGCGTGGATGATTACCACCACGGGAGCCGTCCCGTTGCCGCATACCCTCGCCACGTCTTGGATAAGTGCGTCGCCGTTCTTTTGAAGCTTCAGGTCGTTGCGGTCGGCCTTTAGGTCACCCACAAGCAAATAGCCTTCTCCGGAGTCGGCGTTCGCGAAAGTGAGGCATGTATCTGAATGGCGAGCTATGCTTTCAAGCTCCTCGTCCATCTTGGTGCCATTGAATGACTTGAGTTCGACGTTGTTCGAGTCGTAGTATTCTTTTATCGCAGCGAACGGAGTAACCAAGTAAGGGAACTCCACAGCACCTGAGCCCCATCCCGAAGCTAGAGTTCCCTCGTTGCATCCACGATCTGGGCACGAATTGATGCCATTTTTGTTCTCGATTGCGTCCTCACCGATCACGGAGACCTTGAATCGAGGCCGCTTTCTATCCTGAGGTACGCCGAACAAGCCGCCTTGCCTTCGCAGTGGCAGCATGTGGTCCTCATTTTTGAGAAGCACTATGCCTTCGGCTGCAATCTTTCGCGCGAGAGTCCCGTGTTCATTGTTTTCACCTCGAACATTGACGAACTTGTTTACAACCCCAATGGCGTCCTTGTCGTCGCTGCCCGGATGGTACAGTCCCACTTGTTCTTTTGTCCAGGACGAGAAATTAGGGCCCTCTCCTGAATACAAAGTCTTGTTGTCCTGTCCCATCTGATACCACGCCGCCACAACTCGGAGCGCCATGTCGTTCAACCGCTCGATTGGAACAGAACCATTGTAGATGGCTTTCGTCAGCTGTCCGCCCCAGAGCGACTCACCATCCTGCCATCTCAGACCATCTCCTGGCATGGACATGTCCAAGCCAGCCAACGCAGATGCAACGCCGCTTCTCTGAGCAAGCCAGTCTGACTGTATAAATCCTTGAAACCCAAGTTCATCCTTCATCACTCCGTTCATGAGCTTGCTGTTCTGACACGCGTAAGAGTTATTAACCTGGTTGTACGAGCACATCGCCGAGCCGACGCCTGCTCTTATGCTTTCTGCGAAGGGCCACGCATATAGCTCGTGCAACGTCCTGTCATCTATATGTGCAGATATCGCGTTAGGACGGCCCCATTCCCATGATTGCCGGTAGTGCTCCTGCTCGTTGCCGATAAAGTGTTTTGCCGTGGCTATGACGCCCTGCGACTGAATACCCTTGATAGTATGTGCAGCAGCGATGCCTTGCAACACGGGGTCGGCGCCAAAGCCCTCCCAATTTCTTCCACCCAAAGGTGTGCGACCCAAAGGTCCCATAGAGGGTCCCAGCAGCACATTTACACCCTTTAGTCGCGCTTCCTGGCCCAGCGCTTCACCACGTTGTTCCATGAGCTCTTTGTTCCATGTAGCGCCGACAGTCACCCCGGCGGGAAAGGCAGTGATGTTGTCCGCCCATCTAATTCCTAGCGGCCCATCCTGCAGACATAGACTCGGAAATCCGAGGCGATCTACCGGACCTGTATTGCCTACGCACATTCCCATCATCCACCCAGTCCCCGTTGTAATATTCACCTTCTCGACCACATCCATCTCTCGTACCAACTCTGCTGCTTTCTTATACGACTGCTCCCAGGCTGCGTCCGTACCCCCCATTGGCGCAGGATACCACGGCGGAGACTCTCCATTCGCAGGTGCCGACTTTATCGACCATATTCCACCTGCACTGAGCAGAAGAAGCACTGTCACGACGAATAATATGATCATGTACCAGCAGAACCTGGTCGGAACCAAGTATCGACGTGCCCATGACTTCTGCGGTTTTATCCCCGCATTCTCTTGCTTGACGTTCCTTCGTCCTTTCCTCCACTTCTTTCGCTTCAGTGTACCGGCATCGTAGTTAAGTGGGTCGAACTCGTCGATATCTTCTTCGTCTGACGAGGATGAGTTGTACGTCTCTTCGGCCGAGGGTCGCAGCGTCTCCGTTTCTGCTTTAGCTCCGGGCTCGTCTTTGTACCGTGGTTTACCCTCCTCGAGTTCGAAGCTATTGGCGGCTTCAGTGTCGTGGGCCATACTTGCACTCAGGCGATCATTATATCATAACTACTAGGGGCAGCATCTGGAAGCCGTAAGGAAAGCTCGTTGTGTATTAGGCTGAGGATGCGAAGCCTCGGCCACAGCAATGAAAAGCCTATAGAAACGAGAAGCACAAATAGTTTAGGAAAAGGCAACGAGGAAACTAGTGAAGAGAGGAATGCTCGACTCGAAGGCTGATGTTCCCCAGCAAATCACGATGCCGTTTAGGGAAATTGGCTGCTTGCATGAGTTGGTCCACCCTTAAAATTAACTAAGTTGGTACTATTTTTGAAACAGGGCTGATAATGCTCACTCAGTACTGTAACAAAACCACAGTGAAAGATATGTGCTCAAGAACCTGCTCTGTTCATAATCACATATTCTTTGAAAGTTCTGATTCTATGCTTATTTTTCGATTATCTCGCCTGTATTTTAAGCTCTTTGCTTGAATTCTAGTCATGTCTCTGCGCAGACCAAATCGATCAACCATGTCGATTTCGACATTCTTGAACTCTATCACAATGACTGGAAAGGATACTATGTTGGATGACAGCCCCGTGTGTGAAAATTAAGTGCACATTTACGGAGAAAGTAGACATTCCGATAATCAAGCGAGCCTCAATTCCTTCTTACATCTTATTACAAGTCTTATGACACTGCCATCGACCATTAAACTCCAGTCGATGAATACCAAAACTATTTGTATGCTGGCCACTCATAATGTCTGATGTGGTCTTACCAAACGCTAATCTTAGAGCTTGGAGATCCAGAGCTTATGTACTTCTGCTCAATGTAAGGTACGCATCAGCCGCGTTTGAAAGAGAACTTGTCGTGTACATAAGTTTTTACGGGCAATCTTCAGGAGAATTTCCTGAACACATGAACATGTGCCAGGACAACCTGCATCTCAGCACCTCTTCATTAACTCTCACTACTCAAATTCTATTCTGATCTAAGCAGATTGACACCACTGAATGCCATGCTTGGTCTTCATATGACGAATCATATTATCTTTCCTCGCAATGCCACCCAGCTTCGGAGCGGAATATTTGCAATTTTCGACCGGACATGACCATACAGTCCATTCGGAGACAGTTTCCGGATGTCTCGCGATGCGGTGGCGCTCAAAGTCCCTGCTCCACATAAAAGTCCTGTCACATGATCCAATAGTGCATTTGAAGGGAGGGTCATGTTTTTTAGCATGCTTGCTAGTACGCAGGTCAGCAGCTTTTGCATTAAGACGCCGGGAGAGCTGATACAGACTTTAACAGGTATGGTTTTTGGAAAGTTTCTTGACACATTGAGCATTTGAACCCTCCTCTGGTGGTTTCAGATGCTCTCCTCGAGGATTCTTGAGACAAGTTGTCATAGTTAGGCTCGGAATGGAGACCTAGTGGTTGGAATGAAGACTCTTGTTGTTCATAAGCTTGTATTTTTGGTTCTATTTCCGTTAGATGGCCCGAAGCCATATCTGGGCTTGGTATAGCTGTGCTTTCAGGCCAGCTGTAGTCTTGCAAAGGTCCCCCTTGACCTTGTTGTGCCCATCTAGGATTGATAAATAGGTATGGATAACTGCCTTGACGGTTAGTTTGCGGTGGTCACAGAGAAATGACGGTGAGACTGACTTTGTGTAGGATTGATGATCTTGATATCGACTTGCTCCCTGAGGAACAGCCGAGTCTGCTAAACTTTCGTCAGTTATAGGACTGATCTAAGCAAAGCAGAAGTAAAAAGTGGCTCGGCGCGAAGCTGGCCGAGTAGGTAAAGAAGAAATAAACAAGTATAAAATGGAATACAGACGAATCGAGTAAATCCCGTAAAGGGGTGAACTGAGTTGACGACTCGCTGTGAGGCGTAGTCTTGACCACAGAAACACAAGAACGAGAAGAAGACTTTATATGCTTTGCCGTATCGTGCTGGCCGCCATGGAGTGAGCGCAGATACAAGCATCGCAACAGGACCCGTGAACGGTGGGCCTCAAAATATCTGCAGGGTACTGAAAAGATCTTGTCGATTGGTTACAAGTAGTTACCACCCAAGCTCAGCTTCTTCTGCCTATTAATGCATCACTATGCATCTGCCTACATAATCATGCCGAATTGGGCTATTTCATTTTCTGGATAATGCTCTTTGCGAGTTTTATTGGCTGAGGTGTAGTTTGTAGGCCTCAAAATTTTGCCGAGAATGATCACATCCTCATGCCTACGCAGCTTTACTGACCGGACAGCTCACATAAAATGACTCGCTGCAGATATTTTGGTGGCCAAAATCAATGCTTTCATGTCCGAAAACATCAAGACCACTGCTTTGCGATGTCTGACTAAAGCTCGAGAATATTCAGACCGAAACACATATCTAAGTTTATTTTTTCCAGATTCACTTATGGAAGTCGGCAAATAACTGGCAGTTTTCATTCTCGAACACAGTCATCTCGTTCTAAATTCTGTCTCGAGTCTTTTGAACGTTGCGGTTTAAATTGCTCTGAATCATTTTCCTCAGCCCTCATCGCAGCTCATTGTGAACAAAAATGACTCTTGATTTCATTTTAACATAATGAACCAAATACTTACCACGTACAAGAGGTGCATCAATATGTAAAGACTTTATACGCGAGTACACTTGATCTACATAATGATCACCTGTAGATGTGACCTCTGCCGTAGTGTCCGCGTGAAATGCTAGCTTTGGGTGCCGAATTAGTTTTCGTTATTAAGATCCCTTTGAAATAATTCAATCATTTTTTCCCCAATCGTTTCTTGAATCCCGGATCTCCCAGAGGCATGTCTGTCACTAGGGTGAATGTCGGAGGCTCTCTAATCAACATAAATTTCCCGATGAGAGTTAAGGAGCGCGTATCGTCCTTGATGAAAACTTATAAAAGCGTGACAAATAGAGCAAGCTGGCTTACTACAAACGATGCATTTATCAGATACTCCAAAAAAAGTGTTCCCACGCAGATCGAAATGGTTGACAAGAATTGATTCAGCATGAACAAAAGTTGTCGCTGTGGCATTTCTTTTGCTAGATATTCGAGATTTCATCCGCACTCCAAAGAAACTCAAGCGTATTTGATAATCTGCCCCTTTCATCTTAAATCAGAGAACATTCAATTTGCGATATTTTGAATTTTCATTTGCTTACTTCTCACTGGAAGCTTCCGGCTTTTGCAAGATGGTATAGCTCTCATGGTAAATCAAGCGCAGAAGCCTTGTACAAGTATTTTTGACGCCTTAATCAACCTCCTGCTTACAGTCACAAGATTGCCAAGTTTCAGGAGCAATTTAAAGAGTTGCTCAAGCTCGTACCTATGCGTCTCACGTTGTGCTGCAAGAAAGTACAAGAACTTCAATCGAGAATTTCGCAGTTCATGACATTTGTAAACAATGTTCTGTGACTCGAAATCTTCAGTAAGACACGGCTGATCCCGTTGAAAGCGACGCGTGAGCCAATTCACGACTTCAAAGAAATCATACGCTCGATTCTCACTTGATTCTTGAGCTATATAGCAAATTAGACGATATGAATGTGCTTTGGATGTAGATGAATATAGATGAACTTACGACTCTGTTGAGCAGCGTCCTCGAGAAAAGGTAGACGGGTTTTAGTGAAGCCCCTCGCAATGTTTTGATACGCTAAAAGCCTCACTCGTTTAAAAGCAAGATAGCGCGTGAGGATGATTTCGAAGAGTTGTAACCCCCTTTTGGTAAGGCTTTGCAGCCGTACGTTCTCTCGCAATAGAAGGTAAATCATCCAAAATGCTCTTGAGGAAATCTATGACATTAGCTTCTACGTGTCTATTGGCTGCTAGCCATACAGTGACGCGTGAGGGAGACCTCTCCAGAACCGCGGCTGTGACACAATCCGGGTCTCTGTTATGTGCGCAGATGTGGGGCGATACCGTCGGCAAAGGATCTACGGGCTTCGAGATGACCTGGTGAAGAAGTGTCCGAACATATTTCGGGTGGGATCCACTTACCGCACATAGGATCCGAGCTCTTCAAAAGTAATATGGGTTCGTACAACCCGAGAAGAACATTTCGTCTAAAATCAACCAAGATTTCTTTTCCATCGGTTGCCAAGATAGCAATTATAAGCTTGACTTAGCTAATGGCGAATTCAATTCGTCCGAAAGTTAACAGACAGCATTGAGGAATTCATGTTGGATTAAAAACGAACCAGGACATGACACTCGATACAAGCTGCCCACTCCTCGCATTATCAGCGTGTTGCATAGAAGGATGCAATTGTACAAGCGGCCTACAAATTATATGACGACAAGTAGAACACGAGGCTGGCCTTTGCAGAGTGGAGTACGACGACCTCTCCACCTCCCTTGCTTAGTCTTTTGGTTCTGACCATTCAGCGTAAAGTGCGCATTGCAAAAGGATTGATTGTGACAAGCGAGGGGTTGCACCATGTGGAAAGTCATTTTTGCTGCAGCTGTGCCTATCTGCTTCCACCTAGTCATCAAGCAACCCAAATTTAGGACTCAGCTTCTGGAACATGTTTTAAGTCTCTAATGGGGAATCGGTACATCATTCTATACCGCTAGTTAGGCTCTACCGTCGAGTTCAAGGCCAATCGCCAATAAAGGAGGAGGTGTAACACTAAGATCACCACAACCGCTGGTCTTTGAAATCGATTTTAACCATTTGCAGCCCTCTATGATGTCCATTAAAACAGGCATTTGACTAAGTGATTCCTTCATGATAGACCCATTTACTGATCTTTGACATCATGTATTGAGTCTCAAACCGCTTGCACAGCTGATTAAGCTCCTTCGAGAAGTAGAAAAAGCTCAAGTACTCCGTTTAAGGCAGTAGTGCTTCGGAAAGCGTCCCTCGAGGTCGGCTTTCAAATTTGCATATGGTTCCATTTGAAAAGAAATGTTCCCAACAGATACATCTGGATAGGATCAAGCAAGATCACTGGAGGCTCCTTGGGTACGTACATCAAAGAACGATGGACGTCGCTTCTAGGTCATTCATGAGCGAAAACGCTTCGAGGACTAGAATAGCTACCTGCTTGCCCGAACATACTCTTTGGAAAGTGGAGGATAGATCGCCGTCGCCATCGTCATAACATGCGCTACGAGTTTGCTAGTAAATGGGAAGATGATTTTCCGAGCATCACGCACAAGTCGCGTCAGTAGTTGTCTAACTTCGGCTTATTTTCTTCAGCGCTGGTCTTGGTTCCGATGGCTTGGGAGTTGGCCTGTCGGACGGTATAGTGCATCGAGTGTTTCTTGCAAAATACCTGCCTGGATTATCACAAGGGTACGTGGTTCTAGCTACACTACATAGATTGTACCTGAGCGTACAGAATTTTGGACTTTTTGAGGCAAACCTCTGTCCAAGCGAATCGCCTGGTCACATTGTTAGAACTACCAAGATACTCTAATCTCCTGCACCTCTAGCACGACACCGCCAGTCTTAAGATATCAACATTTTCAAAGGACGTCGGAGAGAGTTTGACTATCATATGCTTACGTACTGTTTCTCACGCGTAGTGACATTCGAGTTACATACACGTTGAGAATCAACAAAACCCTGGTTGAGTCCCCGCATCCCGAGAGATTCATGTCTCCGACATGAGAACGTCAAGCTTTGGTCATTGTGATTTCCGACAAAACGCACAGTGATTCTCAATACACAACTTTTAGTGGCCAAAATTTTGCTGGAATATGAGACTCTTCACGGAGTTAGCAAAATGATTGCTTCCCTAACGGCTGTATTGCTCTACGTACTGGCCCTAGTCGCTAGCGTTCAGAGTGAGCTCTTTTTACCAGACCAGCAGCAACGTCCTCTACTTGCACAGAACAAACGACATTTCAATTCTTCTCGTTTCGATAAAATCGTCGATAACTTCGTCAAAGAACGTTCTATTACTGGGCTCAGCATCGCACTCACTTACGATGACCGCCTCGTATATGCTTCGAGCTTTGGCTACGCAGACGCGGAAGCGGAGCTCAAAGTCACACCATATAACCGCTTCCGCCTTGCTAGCGTATCCAAAAGCATAACTGCCATAGCTATCATGCGTCTTGTCGAAGATGGCTCTCTCAGTCTTTCTGATCGCGTTCTCGGTGAAGATAGCATTCTGGGACACCGCTACAGCCAGAAGACATTCGATAAATGGGAAAGAAGCATCACAGTACAGCATCTCCTCGAGCACTCGCTTGGCTTCGTGGATGAAGATATGTGCGGGACGGGTTGTGACCCCACATACATGGAGAAATATCTAACTCTCGATCAATGGCAGCTCGTTACTGCATTGTTGGACGGGTATACGCCGTCGCACGCTCCAGGCACATTCCCAAGTTATTCAAACTTCGGGTACTTCCTCGCAGGACGTGTCGTAGAAGCTGCATCGGGAGTTGTACCGTACGCTGAGTACGTCAAGGAATGTATTCTGAAACCTATGGGAATATTGAATATGACTCTAGCTGTCGACGAAAGGCAAAAACATGAGGTAAAATATTACGATTTCAAGGAACCAAATCGTCCATATTCCTTCCATGTTCACCGTCGGGACTCAGTCGGCGCGTGGATCGGTACTCCAGTGGACCTCGTGAAGATGCTGACAACTGTAAACGGTATACCGGGCCGTGGTGATTTCCTCAATCAAACCACGATCAGCACCATGTTCACCAAGTCGAAAATCACAAAATCAAGCTACGCAAAGGGATTCAATGTCAGCTATGATGGAGAGGGGCTGATTGATGCGTACAAAGACGGCGGTTATTGGGGGACAAGAAGCTTTGTGAACATAAATTTCCGCAACAAGACTACGTACGCAATTGTGGTAAACTCTGAAATGCCTCGGAATGAAAAATTCAATGGAGGAAGAGATTTAAAGACGCTGATGGACAATCTAACTTGGCCCATAGAGAAGTGGCCAGGCTATGATCTTTTCCATAATTACCAATGAAACCTTGACGAGGATGGCACAACCATACTCCTACAAAACTTTGGTCATCTTACTTGAAGAGCCACTGGCCGCCTCGCCCCTCGCAAGAGAGCTGGCTGCTGACGGATCAACCCTCACAAGTGGTCGATACCTCGCCTCCCACATCTGCTCTCGTATCCATTCCTCTAGTTCCGCGTCATCCTCAGGGATATCTTTCTCCTCGTTCAATCCCTCCTTGACTGCCTGCTTGATCACCGCGGCAGCAATATGCACGCTTATCTCTCTCACGTCCGTCACATCTGGCAGTAAAGGTGCAGAGGGGTCCTTCAACGCCGGTCCTTGCTTTGCAAGCGCTTTGACGGCCTCTACGAGTAACGAGGGCGTCATAAGTCTAGCGCGACTTAAAATCGCACCGAGACCGATCCCAGGGAAAGTGGTCGAGTTGTTGCATTCAGCAATCTCATATTTCTTGCCGTTGTATTCTACTGGAGGGAAGGGACTACCAGTTGCACAGAGAACTCGTCCATCCGTCCATCTGAACAGGTCCTCGGGTTTTGCTTCATGGAGTCGTGTGGGATTGCTGAGTGGGAAAATGATGGGTCGGTCAACATGCTTCGCCATTTCGCGGACAATTTCTTCTGTAAAAGCTCCAGGTTTGGTGGATGTACCTATGAGAACGTTGGGTTTCACCTTCTGGATCACTCTAAGCAAACCATTATTTTCATTTCCCTCCCAATCCTTTTCGTCTCTCGCATAAGGTATTTGCGCATTTGTCAACTCGTCCTTTTGGCTCCGAAGTAACAAGCCCTGCTTATCAACGCACCAGACCTGCTTGCGGGCTTCTTCCTTTTCCTTCTCGCTTTCGTGCGCAATTGCATCCACAATCTGATCCGCAATTCCAGTCCCAGCCGTGCCAGCACCAAACATCACGACGCGAATGTCCGCCAATTTCAGCTTCGCAACGTGAACCGCTGTCATGATTGCTGCGAGCGTAACGCAGCCCGTGCCCTGGATGTCGTCATTGAAGCAAGCGAATTTGGGCGAATACATGTCTAAGATTCGACGGGCGTTCTGCAGCCCAAAGTCCTCGAAGTGAATGTATGCTCTCGGGTACTGCTTCCTCGCTGCGGCCAAGAAAGTTTCTACGAACTTATCGTACCTCTCTCCTCGAGCTCTCTCCTTCCGTAATCCGAGGTACAGTTCATCTTCGAGAAGATCCTTATTGTTTGTTCCACAATCCAGAACCACTGGCAAAGTTCGGGCAGGATGAATCCCGGCGCACAACGTATAGATCACCAGCTTTGCAACCGAAATCAGTATTCCTCCAATGCCCTGATCACCAATACCTAATATCTGCTCTCCATCCGATACCACAATCAAATCAACATCTTCCGGATCTCCGAACTGCGAGATATCGTGCTCAACGCGCTCCATGTCGTCGATGTTCAAGAAGCAGCCTTCAGGTCTTCGGAACAAACGCGAGAAATTAGCTATCGCTTCCCCTTCAGTCGGCGTGTAGATGATCGGGAACATTTCCTTCAAATGATCTAGGATAAGCCTGTAGTAGAGTACAACATTTTGGTCCTTCATGGACGTCATGAAGGTGTTTTTGGCAATGTCATTCGGTCTGGAGCTATATTGCTCATAGGCTCGGCGAACCTGGATATCGAGTGTTTGAACGTTACTGGGCAAGAGGCCATGAAGCTGAAAGGTTTGGCGTTCCTCGGGTGTAAAGGCTGAGCCTTTGTTGTGAAATGCTGAGTTCAAGAGTGCAGTGCCCTATGCGACATTTGAACACGACCTTTACGATGACGGAGAAAGTCACTCACAGATAAAGCACATGGCTGTGGGCCCGATGTTGACAGCGGTAGATGTCCAAACTTTGGGTGCTTTTTGTCTTTTGGGTTTTGCGCCGCCATGATTTCAAGATGTGCGTTGGCAAGATCTCCAATATCGTAAGCGCACTTTGTCTAAATTCGATGTTGGGAAACTGGCGTCGAGCGATGCGATAAGAGGAGCAAAGAAATTGCTACGTGGTAAGGTAGCAAAGCAAGGTCAGTCAAGAATGACGTCGTACATCGCAGCTGAGCATGGGGTTGAATAGAGCTCCACTAACGTACGCTTGTAGCTATCGTGTCTCTGTCCATCACGAAAACACGCCGAAGTCCGTGACTATGAAACAACCCGTTCTTTAATCCTTGTATAAGTAAACTGCAACCACATCTCGCTTTCCCCTGAGAAACTAGGACCAGAACTTCGGCAACAAGGGGAATTTGAGCTGTAGAAGCAAGTCGAATGTCTGCTTAGAGAAGTTGAAGCGAAGACTCGGATGATTAAGATGCATCAATATCAACATTTGTGAGCTCTTCCAAAGAAGACACTATTCCTAAAACTCCAGATACGAATGGTTGCACCTTGTTAACATCGCAGAGCAAACAGTCGAAGTTGCTGCCAACATCTGCATAGAGAACTTCATACAAAATGACAACAAAGGCTGCTCCCTAGAGACGCTTCGAGTCCTCGTACACCAAAACAGTATATTTTCTTTACTACATTCAAGAGATCCATGTGCCTAGGCAATGTTGGTACGCTAGGAGTCTCGCTTTCTTAGATTGCTCGCATTGAGAGGAAAGCGTGAACTATGATGGTCCAAAATTGATCTTGCAACAAAGACGTCCAAAAAGACGAGCAATGTACCAGCCTGCAATGCCATTCACAACAAGACGCCATGAGATGACTTTGCCCTTTCGACCTCATTGAAGAGGTGGTGGTCTGCAGGTTGCGTTTTACTATTTGGCGATTTCCAAGCTTTTTGAATTGCAGTCGTGTCAATCATATATAGAAACTGACGTACAATGTTGTTCAAATGACCTACGGCCTAATTTGATGTGTCTCTCGAAGTGTTGAGAGATGAGTTGTTACAAATCGATCATGAACAAAATTTCCTGGTCGGGTTCTGTTGCGGATGGCCCGTGCAGGAACAATCACGTGAATCAGCCTAGATTTTGAGGCTGAACTTGTAACTCTTGTTGAAGAAAATGCTTGCTACATAGATTAAGCCCGCGAAAACAAGTTCAGAGACGTATACGCGATGAGATAAGTGACTCTAAAAGGTAGATAGCACTACCAACTCAGCGTGCTGCTATGGCCGAAAACCGAAAATGCAACCCAATCATTATGAGGATCAAGAAAACGACTCCGTAACCGTCTGTTCTTTTATTCTTTAAGTACTCTGCTACTGGAGATTGGTCAACAATTGATTCCAGGAAATTTTATTCCTTCTTGTCATCAGAAAATTCGTTTGGTTTCTGCGATGTGTCGTGGGTTCAAGAGACAAATGAATGTTCTTCCGGCAACTTCATTCGAAACACTGTCCACCTGGACACACACGGATGCTTCAAAATACAAAGAAGAATCACTTCTTCCATACTACTGATTTCAAACGGGCCCTAACACGTTATGTCTCTGTGCTATTGAGAAAAGCGGTCAATGCAATAATCAAACTAGTAAACACACGAACACTTCACGCATTGTTTGGAATGAATAGCTGCGACTCTGAAAAATGCCAGATAAGTAGGATCTTCGGTCATTCGAGCTTAACATGTTTGTATCTGGTTGATCTTACATTAAAAACTCTGAAATATTTCGCGACTTGGCGCAAACATGGCTGTTCTATCAGACTTGACCGAAATCCTCACATCAAAGAAAAGGAGACCAGGCATTTGAAGCACCGAGATAGTTTCTCAAAGGTATGTTGGGGACAAAGGATGAAAGGAAGTTGATCAGGTAAACTAATCAACTCATTTGAAGGAATGGCCAAACTTTACTGCAAGACCGCCTATGATTTGCCACACATCTCATGCAGTTGATGCCAATTCAGTCCATTATGCAAGAATATGAACATGTAGTATCATATCATTTTACTATTGAAGACTCAAATAACAATTAGAAGCTGCATACGTTGAATACATATTTACAGGGGAATCGTAAGGGATGGCGCCATCGCGATTTGATCTCAAAACCACGACTAACGAATGCGCTGAGAAGAAGCGACTGCTAGCGGGTGTCTAGATCAGAAAATAGATTGCAAGGCCTACGTCTTTCACGTTTACAAGCAAGCCAGCTTCTAAGCTTGAGCTCATAAAAAATGCACAAAACAGTAAGAGAGAGTCGGAGCGAAGCCTTCGAATAGCTGCGCTGCATTCCTTACTCCAATCAGAAAGATCAATTGGAAGAGGCCTACACTACGACGCGAGTTCTTTTCACGAAACGCAGCTACTTGATAGGAAGAGGTATGAAATGCACCGCTCGAGATGACGTACAATCAGTAAATGGACTAACTTTGGGACTTCGAGTCTTGGTCTCGTATTCGATTGACGCCTGGGCATGCCAAGGCATTTCGCTATTGCCATACGTCGGGTGTGGAGAATTGACTCTCCATTTGTCTGTCCATTCTCCAATTCCATGGGTGTGCGGAGAAACTTACGGGTATTTTCCACCGACTTCTAGTGAACAAGTTTTGCGAGCTTGGAAAGGCAACCCCAGTTGAAAAGATTCTTCAGATTGTTGCCATTGGCCAAAGTATGGGCCGATCGTATCTGCAGGATTACCTAAATATAGGGTTTCCGCAAGTCGCAGATGGAACAGGCCTCGTCGCCTTTTGGCCCTGCTCCCTTGCGACGAGCAGCTGTTGTAAACCGCCTTTGAACCAGATATACCCCTTCCTGTTGTTATCTCACTCGACAGTTCTGCTAAGCCTTGACGAGTTGTAGCGGCGATCGGTCCTTGTTCGACGCTTAACAACCCCTGGTCCGGCGATCATTAACCTGTGATCTGCCTTTGCCTCTCCATCCCTCTCCGCTCGCTCTCACGATCGTAAATTTCGCGCCCGATATCGATGTACGATGCAATGAAGTCGATAAGAGATGGGAGAAAATGATTCAAAATCGGAACATGGCATTGCTATTGATGCTTTCATATCGGCACAACACGATTCGTACAAGAGCACTATCATGTCGGCTCCAGAAATGACCGAGACTTCAATACGAGTCCATACAGCGCCTGGCCCTACCCCAGGCAATGCAACCGGCGATGGGGACGGGACATCGAAAACCGCTAGGAGGCATAAGCCATATTCCAAGACCACTGTGGTCAGGCTGGTGTCCACGAACGCGACTTCATCTGCATTCCCCGAATCTCTCGGTCTCGCCCTATCTGTTAACGGACGGTGGTTGGCCGCATTCAGCTCCTCTGCGCTATACGTGATATCTACGGAACATCTACCGGCATATAAGAACACATGCAGGGCATTTCACGTACGAAGAAAACCTCTGGCTGTGTCGATCAGCGACTCGGGGCGATTTGCAGTATTGACGACCTCGCACAAAATAGATGTTTACTATTGCGAGCATGGTGATTTACTGAAAGGAGCGTGCAAGAAATTAGAAACAATTCATCTAGACAACGAGGCGAAGACTCTGGCGTTCTCCTGGTGTGGAGAGATCGTGGCTGCTGGCTCGGACGTTGGGCTCGAGATCAAGAATCTCAGCCCGGGAAGCATGGAAACAGATAAGAGATATATAACCTGCTCTGCCTTGGACAGGTTAATGTTCTCAAAGGACAGTCGGGCCCTTCTCGCTACATCCGTTTTCAAGAAAAGCCGATACTCAACCTTCATCTCTCTAAACGACTCGTTCGAGGATGCCTTCGTGGAGGAAGTGATCGAACAGCAGCCGCTTGGCAAACTCTGGATAACACAGCTTCTGTTTCCTGAGCGTGTAAAGGCACGGCAAGCTGCTCTCCTTCCAACCTCCAACAGCGACCTAGTGAACAGCGAGATCCTAGCCTTTGACTCACATCTCGATCAGTTCAAGGTGTACGACGTCACTATGAAGCGATTCACAAGTAGAGAGTTGGGCACACCGGAAGAGGTCGTCTGGACACGTCATCACAAACCTGAAGAGTCCGTCCCAGCAATATCAGAAGATGCATCCACAATCGCCGTCGCTGTACGATCGAAGGTCGAGAAAGAGATTTGGGTCTACCATGTTCCACCATCGTGGTGGGAGCCTGCCCATACGGGCTCTCCCGAGTCCGAGAGCAGCGATGGGTCAAACAACGCCCTCGATGCTGCAGAAAAGATCAAGTTGTTTAGTATCAGCGAAGGAGCACCGCCTGAGACGATTACGAATTTGCAATGGGTGCAGACCATGGAGGCGGAAATTGACAGGCTTGTGGCGCTGGTCAGCACATCCAATATCGTAATGCCGGAGGAAGTGGTACCAATTGAAGCTCCTGCAGCGAGTGGCAAGCTTTTCTTGATTGACTTTTTGGACAACACCACAGACGAGAGCGCAGAACAGCCACCTGAAGTTCTTGTTGATCTAGGCGAGCTTACAGTCTCCGAAGATCTCACAGATGAGGTCTTGGAGCTCGATCGGGAAGTAGATCTAGTCAGGCGGCGAACCCAGATCCAGCGTAGTAGACCACCAAATAGACCACCAGCCAACCCCATACCAAGTCCAAGAGGAAGCTTGAGACGATCGCTGAGCTCCGGTGGTAGCGGAGGAGTTCCAACCTTGCGAGGATTAGAGCATTCAAATAGCGGGCGTTCAACGCGAAGGCGTCGATCTTTCTCTAGTTTGTCCACAAACGAAGAGCGCGAAGAGGCTGTTGTCATGCCCGTCGACGAGCCATACTCTCAATCGCAGCCGAGATCGTACTTTACTTTGCATCGCGCCGCCACTATTGCTGCCAATGCGCCAGCGACCAGGCAGCATCTTAGAGCTCTTCCAGATCGGCCTTTAGAATACCGACGAGCTGATGGGCTAAGAGAGATACCGCACGAAAGCGACGCAGACAATTGGGTCCCACCTCCACCTGTTTATAGCGAGGAGCCCGACAATGTTGTCAGCCATCCGGTCTCCGCCAATCCTCAAGCAGTTGCTGCGTATGTCCCTCAGGCACCTAAGCCGCCAAGTCTCATGCAGAATCGACTATCACGGCCGCTGTCTGGAGTACCTCCAGTCTCTGCGATTCCTCTAAACCCAAGCTCGACGTACGCCACTCAGTCGCAGGCATACTCACAGGGTTCGGCTGTGCTTGCTCAGCATCCGGGCTCGTCATCCAATGCTAGTACCATGCAACAGCTTTTGCATCCTCGATCACGAACTACAAGACCAGGATCTTCGCATATGAGTGCCAGCGCTAGCAGTCTGCAGGCAAGCTCTCAAATGGCGCTAGACAGTCTGCAGACCAGTAGTTCGCGCATCCCGAACCATCGTAATGCTGACTCAGCCTCATCGACTTCTAGTCGAACAAGTCATAACACGGCGATATTCCAACCAGGCCAACAGTCAACTTTGAATGCAAACATAGCTACTTCAGCACCGGTAATACCACTTGTTACTCAGGGCTTACCGCCCAATATGACAGCTCCGTCGCCCATTGCGGAGTTTGTAAGACCGCCGGCTACACGTCGGGATACACCTTCGCCGGCAAGTCCAATCGTGGATCAAGTTGCTCCGCCGCACCGAAGATCAGGCAGTGGTAGTTCGCCTACAACTGGTGCGCTTTTAGGTGCGTGCACTGATGCCACTCCGCATGCAGTGTCTAGCGATCTGACGCGGAGTTTACCATCAGTTCCGACTGTAATGCAAGAGTCGTCACGGAGGAGTTTGGAAAATAACAGTCCGTCGTCAAGGAGGACACAGCGGCCCGTACTGAACCGACTTGCTACCATCGCCTCAGTATCAGAGCAGCGGCAACAAAATAACTTTATTCCCGAGCCGATCATACACAGCGCAAGCACGCCGACCACAACAGATACGTTTGGTCGGAGACAGTGGTGGCGCATCGGTGCTGCAAGAACTCCAAGAGCAGAAGGAGCATCTACACCAATGCAACGCGAAGCGAATGGTCTGAGACCTGGCTCAAGGATCATGCAGTATGCTCCTATCGATCAACCGAGACACGCGGCAACAGCACCTGCGACAGCGCCTACGACGGGCAGCAAAACAAAAGAGAAGGATGGCGGATCAAGGTGTGCCATCATGTAGCGCCTCGGCCATGATGATAAAATGTGAATTCGAGAGGAGAGCACTGAAATTGAGATTTATGATACCCAAATACGCAACAACATTGCAGGTCAATCAGGTCGAAGAGGAGACACCTTTTTCGATATGGTGAAAAAGCGCGAACTCCCTTCGAGCCTCCACACAGCTTGCGGTTGGAGGATGTCGCGACTTTAATTCCTTTTCGTTAGATATATGGAGCTACTTAGTTATTCATGAGCCACGGTTGCCGCGAGGCCAAAAATCTTGTTCCTTCGATGGTGCTTTTTTTTTCCTACACATAATGCCTTTCTTATTAATGTGGAATAATCATCGCGCCGGCGAAATTATGAACTCGACCAGCAGTTGGCTGTTCATATATCGAGGACGATCTTGACCAAAAGATTGTTCACGCTCGCACGATCATTCACGTCGCCACGCAAACCTGGGAGAAATGCGTACAACAAGTGCATAGGCAAAGCTTCAAGGATGATGTTGGACAACGAAATTCGGTTCGAGTTTCAGAAAACGCGGCACGGACTTGTTCCCAGAAAAAGAAAAAGACTCTGGAATAAACAAATGAAACACAACCAAGGATACTTGCGCCCGTACTACCATCCTTCGGAGATTTTATGTATGCGTGCAAAAGGGTATTTTTTCTTGGAATTTTATCTCCCCCCCTCGAAACTAACATACAGAGTCCCGTTCATTCTAACACACGCTCGCCAGTGCGGAAAGGAAAACTAATGCTTTATAGGGCGATGACAGCGGCCATGATAGCAGCAAAAGCGCCACCGATGCTTGCAGCACTGAGAGCGATAGCACCACTGGCCGCCTGAGGGCTTTGTGAGGCAGAAGCGGTGGAGCTGCCGGTTGGGACGACGCCAGTGGTGAGGGTAGTGGCTTGGCTAGATCCCGAGCCAACCGAGGTGATGGAGACGAAAGTAGTATTGGACACACCAGTCGGCTTCGAGACGGAACTTGCAGTGGTTGAGATGACGGTAGTGTTGACGGAGACATAGGCAGAAGCAGAAGCGGATGCTGACGCGGAAGCGGAGGCAGATGCGGAAGCGCTGCCTGAAGAGCCAGAGTAGTCAGGGTTGGAGATACCGAATTGAGTAGACCATTGGTAAGTGCCGTCAGCATCATCAATCAACTGGAAGCCGTAGCCGCTGTCGCCAGTAGGCTGAAGGTCACTTGCTGGAGTCCAAGTGTACGTGCCTGTGTTGGCGATCTTCTCAGCGACGGCATAGAGAGGCTGGATGTTTGTAGATGGGCCCTTCATGAGAACGAGGGTAACGGTGCCTTCTGTGGTTGGCTGCCATGTTACGGTGTATGGAATGCCAACGGGAACCACTTCGTTCAGGCCCGGCTTAGCAATCGGGTTGCAGCCGTCTGTGCATTGCGAAGTCTAAATCAACGTCAGTCGGTCTCGCCTGTAAACAGGCAGATCAATCGCATCACATACTGGGGTAGTGTAGGCGCTGGCCAGAGCAGCGGAGACGGCGAGAACGATGAACTTGTACATGGTTACTTGAGGAAAATGCGACCAAAAGAACAACGGGTGATTCTGAAGGCACAAGCAAATGAATGAACGTCTGAACGAATGACTTCGAAACAGAAAGGAAGGACGAAATGGTTATATAATGAGCGAAAATAGCTGAAGAGCTGAATAAAAAAGCGAACGAGTGCGTGGAGGAAGAAGAGGTGAAGTTACAACGATGTAGAATGAGTTACCACCCCGTGCAAGCCCGGGCAGTTCAGCTACATCTATTTTGGTCTAGCATGGGCCAATGAACGCGCCTGTTTTGCACGCTAGATGTGGTTTGTAATATCACCAGATCGTATCTGGCCTTTGGTGGCTGATTTTCAGACCGTTCAGGAGGCGCGGAGATTGGGGTCGCACGTCACGGCCTCACTCGCTTAGTTGGCCAGGCCCTAACCTTACCTCTCCGCTTCGTGCGCCTGTGTCGCAGCGAGTATTTTCGAACTTTCCTCGTTCGACGTGAGAATGGCGCCTTGTCGTCCACAAAAAGGCGCAGATCTCTGCCGGTCCAGCGACAAAGACGTTGAACGGAACATCGACAAGATACGGTGCCAAGGCAACCACCACATTGCCGAGCCCGAGACAAAGGGGCGAAATGAACCTATCGAGCCGTTTCAAGTCAAAAGGCCCAGAGCGGCACGCGAGAAAAAAAACGGGCGGCCATAATTCCCCCCACGGTCGCGAAGTGCGAAAAAAGAGGTGAGGAAGTTGGACAGGAATATGCGGTGCAGCGATTTGCCTGGGAGGTCAGCAGCAGAATAATTCGGTACATCCAAACCCCCCAAGCTCCAGCGGCATATTCCATCGAATCTAGGGCTGCGCTCGAGTAGGGTAATTCATCTTCTGCGTCCATCATTGGTAAATCCACGCATGCCTCCTCGTACTCTTGCTGCCACCGTCCGGGCTGTGCCTACAGCTTCTGCACGATCTTAAATCGGCGCATCCTAGAGCACTGGTTTTGGCGTCTTGAACTGTGCTGAAGAGGGCTCGTCCTGCGATTGAAGCTTAGCCACTTCGCCCACCGCTTCTGGGGAGGGCTGGCCTTAGCTGGAATATTCCGCAAAGGAGTTATCCTGTTGTGCCAGACATGCTATACGCGAAAGTTCACGCTTTGTGTTGCGCGAAACGGTTGCTTCGCTGTCAGCACTAACGCGACGAGTGCCTTGATTAACGCATCAAAGGGCAAAAAAAAAGCTTAACTTTTTTCGCTGCGACCACCGCACCTTTCGCGAACCGTCCACGAAACGAATGGAGCTGAAATGCGTGTTGAAGGATGAACATGGAATGAAGACGACGAAAGACACAATCATGTCCTGGAGCTATCACAGCATGATCCTTCGGGACATGGAGAGTTTGTCCTCGATAATAAGCTCATTCTGCCCTGTCACCAGTCACCTCCTCTCAAAGGTGCCGTCAAGTAAATTTGTACGCTTGGCGCATAATACGAGCAGTGCAAATGTGCAATTAAAATGCTTCGGCAACACCTTGATGGGAACACACAATAAGACGTCGCTCGTCGCGATGCGCCAGTTCCATTGATCATTGCATACAATTTCTGACAAATTAGCCTTGATTCTTTTCTTTTCGATGCTATCATTTTCCCCTTCCCTTTTCGCCGTCAGAGGCTTTGAGGAACGTCCAGACGCTTGTACGCCAGCTCACACGTGGCTTGTTTGCTACGTCCAGACACCATTTAACAGACAGATCTGTGAACACCTTGACCCATCGGGTGCCTCGCCTTATGCTTGTTCTTCGCGTCCTGGCCCAGACTCGCGTGTTGCTTCTCTACGCTCTTCGAGAATGGCTGCCACGCTTGCAGATCGATCACATCAGACTCCATCAGCGTCTCCGTGACCGAGCAGATGTCTGCGACCAAGCGGTCCAGCAGATCCATGGTCATAGACTCGCGCACAACAACACGTAGGATCTCAGTCTTGTCCTCAACTGGCGGAAGGGGGTAGTCTGTTCGTCTTCGTTAGCTGAATTCCATAGGGCGGTGCTTGGGAAGGGATCACATACTTGGTATAATGTACTGCTTGGCACGTAGCAGGTTTGATACTGCCGCTTGCTTAACGTGCGGATACTTTTTCTTGAATTCATCCGTCAGCGTGAAGGCGACCACTGGCAGGCCCGGATTGTATGCCTCCGTCGTATCCCCCTCAACGAAAGGTTTGTTCATCGCACTCTCACGGTCATAGTAGAAGTCGCCTTTCTTGCGGTGGATGTCGCTCACACACCTGTACCAGCCAGTTCTCTCCAAGGCGCGACTCAGCAATCGCGCGTTCGCGAGAGAATTCTCCATGATCGAGCGAAACCCCTTGAAGCCCAGGTGCATGAGATTGTAGTATTGCGCGATGACCTGGGCTCCTGGCCGGGAGAAGTTGAGCGTGTACGACTCTTCAGTGCCGCCTAGGTAGTGCAGCTCGAAGACCAGGTGCTTGGGCAGCATTTTCTCGTCGCGCCAGATGATCCAGCCGAGGCCGGCATAGACAAGGCCGAATTTGTGGCCCGACGTGTTGATGCTCTTCACACGCGGCAGTTCAAAGTTCCACTTGAATCCGGCCTGAGCGTGCGTGAACGGGCTAGAGTCAAAGGATTAGTCGATGCGAGGCGGACCGTATGCAACCGACTTACGCGATGAAAGCTCCTGACGCGCCGTCCACGTGAATGGGAATGTCGATTCCCGTCTTCTCCTCGTACTCGTCTAAGATCTTGGAGATCTCCTCCACGGGCTCATAGTGGCCGGTGTAGGTGGATCCCAAGATCACGAACACGCCGATGGTGTTCTCGTCGACGTTTTGTCGAACGAGCTCCGGATCGAGCCTGAACCTGCTTTTCTCGCTCACCGGCAGAATGCGAGCTTCGACTTCGAAGTATCGGGCAAATTTCTCGAGGGCCACTTGGGCACTGGCCTCCGAGGTTAGCAGCTTCTTATGGAGGGCAGTTGGGTCTCATCGGTTCATTACTTTGCACCCATGATGATGTTGGGCTTCGACGTGTCTTTGCCCTCGGCCATCCGCTTCTCCTGCCACCGTCGCTTCATGGCGAGCCCTCCGAGGTGGATGGCCTCGCTGGAGCCCGTCGTCGCCGTGCCGATTGGCTTCTCACCTTTCTGGGCTCCCCACAAGTTTGCAATGATCGAAACGCATCGCGCGTGAATATCCATCATGGCCGGGTACTCGTCCGCGTCGCTCATGTTTTTGTTCAGGTTCTCTATCATCAGCTTTTCGGCGGCCTCCTCCATGTACGTTCCAACGAAGCTGGCAAGATTGAGATTGGGACGGCCGTCCAGGTCCAGCTCGTCCCTCAGCATCTGGGCTATGGCGTCGGCAGGCGCGCCTTCGCGCGGGATGCGATGCTTCGAAAGATGAGTGACTGCATTGTAACGACTCGTGTACGGCGTTCCAGACGCATCAGTCACCAGTCTCGTGTGCTTTCCTCGATGAGAGTGGGGTGCGTCTTTGAGCTGCTCGACCAGGACGTCCGGATCTAGATGAGCAGCGAGAGCCATTTTCAGCAACGATGTTTCAAGAAGCAAGGAGACCTCTCTTTTCGGTAAGGTTTTCGACGGAGAATGACAGGCAGCAATCAGAACGAGGTTGGGACGCAGGTCTTATTAACACTGTCACAAGAGACCGCGACGGGAACGTGCGATGCTAGCTCAATGACATAGATGGCACGATCCAATCCACCGAAAGCTCTGCTCCATAGCTCGAAAGGAATCGATTTGCTCGGAGCAGCATGGCGGCCAGCGTATTGGCTCAGCGTGTCGCAAGGTTACTCCATTCTCGTATGTCATGGCCGCCAATTATGACGTAGAGGGGCTCTCAGTGCATGAGATTTGTTGGCATCAACCGGTGCCATTGAACGCAAAACCAGGCCAAAGGCGCCTTTTTCAGAAGCTCAGCACATGCGCTCACTATGCGGCCATTCAAGCCGCACCGGCTCTCACTCGAATGATGGTGTTGCAAAATGCCAAGCGGTGCCCAGACTTTTTATCTGTGGTCGGTGCTTTCAGTCGCCGATGCGGGGGTGGAAACTCGTCGTCGCCCAGGATCAGCGTCATCAAGCTGGAGCATTCAGCACTTCGGCTGTTGCAGCTGCGTACGGAGCGTTGTGGAACTCCCGTCCCCGTCTCTCGCGTACAATATGTAATGCGCACTCTGCGCCATCTTTGCACTCGACCTGCTTTGCTTTGGCCCAACGGTCTGCTAGCAGTCGTGCGCAAAAGACTAGTGAGCGAGTTCCACGTGCGGCTCCGCAACGACGAAATCAGCGGAGATTCGTCATCATCTGGCCTGCCTTGCGCGTCTCTTACGACAACTCCCGCCAGGCAGCCTCTTTTCCGATACCTTGGGTTTTTCTTTCAGTTGTACTGCCCCAGCTTTTCCTGAAGCAGGCCAATTGACCAGACATCATGAGATTCACTCATCTGCTTCCTTTGGCAGCCTTGAGCGCCGCCATCGTGCTTCCAGACGAGCAGGTGTTTGCGGATCTTGCCGTCCCGAAGCGTCAGCCTTCCGAATCCCGTCACAAGGAGTCGAAGTCGATTCTTGACAAGCTACCGTGCCCACACCATCTCTTCGACGGCCCCAAGTCCTGGATCGAAAGCTTCAGGAAGCCTCGAAATCCAATCGACCATGCCTTAGATCACAGCGAGTCTTTCGACGAGGAGAGCCAGGAGAACTTTGTCCGTGGCTTTGACGCCGACGCTTGGTTGGAAGATGCAATAATCTCAGGATTCCTGGAAGGTGAAGGCCTTGATAGCCCTTTCGCAGTCGGACCGCAACATGATGGCCCGCCGCCGCTGTCTCATGGGCCACCTCCTTTCGGACCCTCTCCAAGTGAAGGCCCTCCCAATGAGGGTCCCCCAGGTGATGGTCCTCCAGGCCGTGGTCCTCCAGGTCATGGTCCTCCAGGTCATGGCCCTCCAGGTCATGGTCCTCCAGGCCATAAGCCACCACACAAGAAGCCTCATAAGCCGCATCCGCCCCATCATCATCACAAGCCAAACAAGACCATCTTCGAGCTGATCTCCGAATCCAAATATACTACCAAACTGGCCAAGTTGATCGCGAATGACTCGGAGCTCGTTGAAGTCCTGAATAGTACGAAGGCAAACTACACTCTGTTCGCTCCAACCGACAGCGCGTTCGCAAAGATTCCAGAGCACGCTCCAAAACCATCGAAGGAGTTCATTAGAAAGGCACTTCTATATCGTGAGTTCTACATGCGTCCCTTGTTCTCCTGCCACTAATGTCCATGCCAATAGATATCGCACCTGGCTTGTACCCTGCTGGTCGTCTAATATTCTCGCACACGGTACCAACGCTCTACAATGAGACTCTTCTTGGTGACAACCCGCAACGGCTTGTCGCAAAGGGCGGATTGAGGGGCATATCCTTAAATTTCTATTCGAAGTTACTAGCAGCTAACATACCTGCAACGAATGGTATCATTCATGGCGTCGGCAGCATCATTGTTCCTCCTCCAAGGGCCCTGAAGATCGTCGAGTTGCTGCCTGCCCAGTTCAGTACTCTTCTCCTTGCTCTAGAGAAGACTGGACTCGTAGAAGAACTGGCGGAGGCCAAGTCTGTAGGAGGCACTTTCTTCGTGCCACCAAACGATGCCTTCAAGAAGCTGGGTCCTCGCATCAATGCCTTCCTGTTTTCCAAGTTTGGACAAAAATATCTCAAAGCTCTCCTGAAGTATCACATTGTCGCCAATGAGACGCTCTACTCGAACGCTTTCTACGGACCATCCAAGGCCGATTTGCGTATCGAATCTGAGCAGGAGGCAGGGGCTGACGCTGCTCCTTACCTCCACTATGATCTGCCCACTCTACTGGGTGGCAAGAGTCTCGCAATCGACGTCACTCGGTTTGGGCCATTTATCACGTTCAAAATAAATGGCTTTGTGCGTGTTGTGGTCTCAGATGGAGTGGCCAAGGATGGCGTCCTTCAGGTGGTGAACAAGGTGCTCATTCCACCCAAGACATCGCCTGGTGGGGCCGAACTCGAATATTGGCAGGGCGAAGAAATGAGCGTGGACGAATTCAAGGAACGTTTGGGTCCGTTTGTTGACGGGGATATGCACGTTGACCTGTAGAAAACGGATTGGTGGAAAAGATTGTCCACATCTACCTATCCCGTAACAAAACGGTGTCGCGAAGCTGACACAAGGTTTCAGTCGTTCTATCTCCGCATATGACGGACAATCTTACTCTCGTTTCTGGCGTTGAGACATAGTGTATTAACAGGCAAGACAATGTTATGGCACGTTCATTTGTTCGATCCGATAAGAAGATTCACTTCATTCATCATTCGCTGTCGGTGCTCCAGAGACAACCCAGGCAAAACATACTATGCACAACATTCTCACAACTCTTTCTTGAACATGGACTATTGTGGCATCCCGCTGAAGAAAAATCAAACCCAAGTAAGAAGAGTGCGCCATGACCAGAAGCTGCTTAGGATGTCGATTCCAATCCGTAGTACCAAGGTGCAGACCAAGTATAGTACAAGAGCAAGGGCTGGCAAGTCTACAGAAATGCAACGCTAGAACGCTTTCAACGGAGATTGTGAGTCAAGCCAAATAATACAGTCCTGTCCTGTTCTGTCCTTTCCTTTTCTTCTCTCAATTTTTTTTTTCGTCTCAGCCCTCGTGGGAGTCTTGCTTCTCCGTCTCTGCGGGGGCTTGGTTTTCGCCACGCCATCGTCCTCTGCCTCTGCCGCCGCGGCCTGAGCCCCGCGGGCCGCTCAAGGAAGCCTTCCCGCCTCCCCCTCGCTCGCCTCCACGCCCCCGAAACCCCCGGCCCCTATTCCGTCCAGGTGCGCGAGGCTTACGACCAACAGAGAACTGGATCTGAACGAGCGGCTTATCGACAAAATCAAGCTCTCGCAGTCCAAGCTTCTGCTTTTCCTCGGGGGCCAGTCTCCATGGCTGGAAGAGGCCCATCAACTTCTCCTCGTCGTGCTTGGCACCCTCTTTTTCGGCGCCCAGGTCAACATCTCGCAACTCCTTTACCCAGGCTTTGATATATTCGCCTCTTGGGTCGTAGTCGAGGGCCTGCTTCACCGGGTTGAAGAGACGGCCCTCGCGCGGGTCGTTCCCAACCCCGGCCACGTACTGCCAGTTGCCCCAGTTGTTGGCGACGTCGTAGTCGACGAGCATGCACTCGTACCACTCTGCTCCCAGCCGCCAGTCGATGTTCAGGTGCTTGGCCAGAAAGCTGGCCACGTTCTGGCGCGCTCTGTTGCTCGTGTAGCCGGTCAGATACAGCTCTCGCTGAGCGGCGTCGATCAGGCCGAGGCCCGTTCTGCCCGTGCAGAACCTACGCAGCTTCGCGCGCACCTCCTCCTCTGCCAAACCTCTCATATACTGCCAATCCTTGGACTTGCCTCCGCGCAGTCCCTGGATGGCAAACAACTTGGCACCGTACTTGCGCTCGACAAGTCTGAAGTAGTCCCGCCACAGCAACTCAAAGCGCACGCCCGCCGTGCCTTCGTTCTCTCCCTTCCCAAAGCCAGCGGCTTGCTTCCAACGCTCAAGCTTCGCCAGCTTTTCCTCACGCGTGCCGCCCCACCTGTCGTTGCGGATCTCCCCATCTTCGAACAGAGCCATCTCGGCAGAGACCTGCCTTGCGGAGATGCAGCCAAGTGCTAGGTAGGCAGAGAGCTTCGTGCTGAAGTCTGGACCTAGGAGACCGTTGCGTGTTTCTTTGTACGCTGTCATTGCGCCGCTAGAAAGCAGATAATCGACTCGTCTGTGAGCCTCGCTCTCGCCTCCATGGAACGGGTGCGCTGATTGCGTGTCTCCCGGCCACGACGGCGGATTCGGGAAGTCCTTGTCAATGTCGATCGGCCGAAGCAAGCACGAGATCAGATCCGGGAGATTCGTCGGGATCTCGAACGGTCGGATCTGGCGCGGAATACAGGTCTCTTGAGGCAGCGGTGGAAGTTTGGCCACGTCGAGAAGCGGCAGTCGCGCCCTGGCGCGCAACGGCTCGATAGACTTGCGAAACGTCGTAAAGACATCCGGAAGATCCTCTATCTTTGTGAAAGGCAGGTCGCTGCTGTAAGTCGATTAGAAAATGGGCCCGGAAAGAGATACGGTGCACGTTTAAGAACACGGAGTACAGAAAGACGGTGGAAAACGCTGGAGAAGATGCCGACTGGTGGCATTGTAGAATACAGAAGTAAACAGCCTGTCATTTTTACAAGTGAATGAAGGAAATTCGTACTCATTGACATAATATTTCTCGTCGTCGAAAGCCCGATATTCACGTCCGGAGCTCTCAACCAGACTCCGAACCTCCGCCTCCTCTTGCTTTTCCTCATAGCCTTCATCTTTCGTCATCCACACGCCAACAACCTGTAGGTCTGCTGATGAGGCGGACTTCTTGCCGGAAGAGCTGTCTGCATTGTCGACGTGGTTGAAGATGTCGCGCAGGACGTCCGTGACCCGTCCAACTCGGATCACCAAGCCGCTGTGCTTCTGCTCCAGCGTGTTCTTGAGGTCCCAGACGCTTTCTGCGAGAAACTTGGCTCTGTGAGGACCGCATCGCCAAAATCCCGCAACTTGGCTTCGAGCTTCAGGATAAGGTGACTTGGGCATAGATTCTTCATCCTTAGCCGCAGGGATGAATCCAGAGATCTCGATCTGGTGGGACCGGAAGACATACAGTGGGAGCAGATGCGTAAATGCAGCCGTACCGGATTGGAAGGACTCCTGGATCTCGTGGAATACGGGATTGTCCGAAAAGCGCAGATCGTGTCGAAGCAAGTAGATCAGTATCTTGGTCGGCATTCTGGATGCCATGACTTCATGTCTGATTCGTCAGAAACTACGGCCGGAGATACCAACACCTAGAGTACGGGTTTTGCCTGCATCAACGAAGGACGTCCCCAAAACGCGACGGATACAAGTTATGGACCAGGGGTTGAGGAGGGAATCACACCATATATGTGTGCGATATGGGGCAAGATCGCCGGATTAAAAGGAGCAGAAACCAGCCAGAAGAATGTCTCAATCCATATGCATCCCGTGGCGATCCAGACGCAATGGAGAGCAGCAGTCGCCGTTCACCAAGAGGCCTGACTGTGGTGATGATCAAAGCAAGGGTTAAAGAAAGGCAAGACGTAAATACGCTCGGCACACGTTCTTCGAACCAAGAGCCGCCAATACTTTATTCTCCAAGCCCACGGGGCGCCTCACTTCAAAGACTGGGTATTAGAGATGACGTCCCCTAGTCACTGGAAAGGAGGAAAGCTCAAAGCTTTTGCAGCATGCATCATGAATTTCAGGGCAATGCGGAACGAAACATTCGTTTAGTCCGGGAAATCCATCGAATAGGAATGACAGGTCCATTGAATAGCTTCGATGGCCCATTGGCACCACTTTCGGAGAAGATCGAGCTGGATCGAGCATCGCCACGCTCTGCACCATCGCCTCAAGGACACGCTATCGAGCTTTGGGACGTCGACCCAGACCGCTTCGCAGGACTTTAAGCCATTCCGGCGCCGTGTTGCTGGATTGGGGCAACGCTTGGAAAAGTCCAAAAGAAACATGTCAAACCACCGGCCTTGCCTGGGCCTCGTCTCCACCCAGGATATATATTGGGCTGTCCCACCACCAGCTCAGATTCTGTCCTGTACGCGCACGCATCACGAGGACGAGGGACGTCGAAATAGCAACCTTACAAACTCGCTCGCCCCTAACCTGTGCATTCACGACTGACTTCCTGAACCTAGCAGGACTCCTATTTGCATGACCAGCCCTCCTCATCCGCGCGCTCGCGTCCCCTACACCTTGGCCGTGGGCAGCCACAAGGTCTTGCATTTTTCCCCACTCCACCAAGAGTTACGGTGAAGAATACGTGCGATGGTACTCTCGAGAGACAGTTTCTCAGCGGCCCGACTTCTGGCCTTTCGCTCCTTTGGCGCAGGCGTGTCGATGAGGCCTCGAACAAGCACGATTTTTTCCGTCTTCCTCTAACTCATCCGGTCTTGGAAGAAAGGACCCTCCGGCAGGGACGACTTTGGCTCTTGAGCTTCTGATGATACGACGATCGTTCCCTTGCAGGCGACAACTGCTGCAGGGACGGAAGCAGAAGATGTCATTCTGTCGCAGTGACAGAAAGTCCAGCCTTGCTTCGGCAGAACGTGCCGAATCCGTATCTGTGGACCTGGGGCACTGCCTGCAGCTCCTTGAAGGGGGTACCGTGGTACCTCAGCCGCAACTAATCAGACGCTTACTCTGCACGCAAATGTCTGCTGCAACACCTTTTTTTTCTTTTTTTTTTTCTTCGTTTCTCCAGGGCACCCTGTGAGATCACAAGAACAATGCGAATTAAAGTTTTGCGGATTATCGCTCCTTTCTGGCAGCGGGCGAATTGGAGCGCGGCACAAAAGCCGCGTTTGTAATTATGCGTCGGATGAATGTGCCTTGTTGCCGGAAAGCAATTTTTTCACCGACCAGAAGCAGTTAAAACACAAGACGCAATGCAGAAACTCCTGACGGCCGTCCACTTCTCGCCTGGAGGGAGAAGACGCCGACAGTTGTGCGCAGGCATCGTATTTGCGCAATGATGCGCTGATACGTTGTAGTGGATTGCCCGTACGACCGACGTGCTGCCTCCAGGACGCAACAAGAGCCAGCAAAAGGGATCTCGAGCCGGTAGGATCTCCAGTCAGATCTGGCAGCTCAAATTTTTTTTTCCTGGCCGGAAAGAACCGCTTCGCGAAGCTACTGGTTCTGCCATGGGAGGCTTTTACAGACGTCAGAATCGACAGACGGCATGCGTTCGACAGCTTATCGTAACCAAAGCATCTGGACTCGCAGATGATTTCATTCAGCTGACCTTGTGAGATCACTGACGCCCAATCATGATCAGTGTACATTCGGCGACATTACAGGATGCCCCGATCCACCGGCAGAGAATACATCGCCAAGGCGTAAACGAAGCTGCCTACTTCGCACCTTCATCCCTCATCCGGCAAAATCTGCATTTCTGAAGAGTCTACAGCGAATGAAGACGGGGCCGCAGATGCACTGTGGTTTCCCGTACTCACAAGCAGCGGCATCGCTTCGTCGTGTGATGACTGGTTGCGAATCATGGCCTTGAATCGTTGTTCTGCTTCTTGACTGGCCAGGGCATCGTGTGGTGCGGATGCTCTTCCGTCAGCAACACCACAGACACGCATCAAATGCCTAGCAACGTTGGCGACTCGTCAGCATACAGTAGGTCCGGATTGGCAGGAGCCAACGTAGAGATCCTTGCCGCCGGCTGAAGCCCTATTCGATCGCGGAAATGTCAACTTTTTGGCGGCACGGGCCGTTTTCAGAAATTCCAGTACATGGCCTCAGAGCTCTCTGATATTTTGACGCAGCTTACGTACTCCGTTCTGCAAGCTCTGAATATGAATATCAGGCCTCTCACAACTCTCTTGATCCGCCATGGCAAAGTAAGATCTCGTCAGAGTCAGCATTTCGGGTATGTACGTCTTAGCTACTCGAATCCTTCCAAAGAGCACCCCGTTCGATTGAACGACCGTCTACTACTGGATTGCCACAACGACCGGCGCCTCCGACCTGTGGCGAGAACTGAGTCATCGACCGCGAATAGACGATCTCCTTTATCCCTCGCCCGGTAAAAGTCCAAGTTTTGAAAGCAACCCGGGCCACAGAAAGCTGAATTTAGATCGAGTAGACGACACTGCAGGACAGCCTGGTACAACTACATTGCGAACAGGCCATACTATCGCTATATGGCGCATCACTTGCGTGATGCGCCTGCATGCCAATGACTTGCATAGGCGCTATCTACGAGCCCCATCCATGAGCCAGACTCCAACGTCTTTATTGATACACAGACCGCCAGGAAGCCGTAGCGTTGGAGCGATACCATCGCCATGTGGACAAATGGACAGGATAAGAGCTCCGTAGTGTCTCGTAACAACGGCGCCTAAGACGCTGTGGTGCAGCATCTGTACCAAACGTACAGTCGGTATGAGTAGCCATTGGCGCGATCAACTCCGTGCTCGAGAGAACAGCGGGCGGTGAGGACATGTCTCAGCTCGGTGCGCTTCTTGGAGACGTGGATGCAGCACTGTGCTGACGCTCGGGATTGGAAGCCCGGATGTCGAAACGGACGCATGATCCGGTTCGAATCTTTAGTGGCATGAATGAAGCGAGACAAGGAGTTGAGGGCCGCATGTTGCTTGGAGCACGCTCCGCCTTCGACTTTGAGTGGATCACAGCATCTGTCAAAGACCAATCCTCCTTGGGCTCGTGCGGTCAAACGGAAAAGAGACGCGTCCTCTTGCCACAGTCGGTTCTGTCGTCACGGGCGAGCAGAAAGAATCAGAAACGGTCCGAATCCAACGTTCGACTTTCGAAGCTGACTTCTTCGCCTCCCCAGCATCGGTCAATACTCGTCTCTAACGATCCACATTTCCAAAGGGTATGAATGTTTTTATTTGCAAGTAAAAATTCGTCTGTCTCGAACGTTTTCAATTTTTTTTTATTTTTTTGAAAAAAAAAAAAACACAAAAACACAAAAACACATCCTGTTGGACGTGCCGCGTTCAAGAGCCGTGGTTACACAAATGCAAATCTGGCATGAATCTAAAGCTCATCGGATCAGCAAATTGACACGTCTCGGATCGTTGCGCCGACCTTTTCCTCTCCTTCTACACGTTCCTACACTCTCTTACAAAAACATCCCTGAGCAAATCGTTGCAAAGACCGACAGGTCTGAATGTTGCGAAGCGAAAAGCGAAAATCGACAGGCCTTTCGGACAAACGCATTCGCAGGGCCGCAAAGCCGTGTTGGGCATGAAAACCTTTCACACACATTTTGTCCAGCCGTTTTGCCCAAGGCCCCTTTGTCGAGCTCCTTTTCAGCTCTTTTTAGTTTTTTTTTTCTCTTCCCTTCGCATGTGAAAAACAGCAGAATGTGATCCTTGCTTGAATCTGCATATCTATACACATAGATCGAGTACCGACCCGCTGGACTGGGTCTCGATGGAGCCGCCCTGCCTGACACAAGTTTTGAAGCAAGCGAGGGCGTATTTGGTACGCGTTGAAATCCTGTCGTGCGAATTTTGGAAAAGACACGCACGAAGCGAACGGCAGAAAACTATGACCTGGGAACTGGTATCATCGAGGGTTTCCGTACTGCATTTTTTCTCTTCCAAGACAAGTCCAGCAAAGCGGCGACATGACGAAAGGGAAAAATGGAGGCGAGATAAGGGTAGAAACGTGCTTCTCCGCATTAAAGTCTGTATGGGATATACCGACGACGCCTTAGCCCTGTCCCAGATTTCTACGTCTAAAAGGCTCTTGTATAAGAACACCCCACAAAAAAAAAAACGTCAGCTGATATCAAACGCCATCGCTATGCCCGCCGCAAACACCCAGAGTAGAGATTCGCAGTACATATATCAGGTTGTTCCCAATCCGTTACCGGAACCGCTGTAATCCGCAGCCGGCGCATTGCTGCTACCTGCACTCGCGCTGGAGGATTCGCCGTTCCCACTGTTCGACTTCTTTTGCTCCATCCTCCTCTTTCTCGCCAGCTGCTGCTGTATTTGCCCTTCCCTGTGCTTCTCCATGCGATCTGCAATCCTCCTCGCCCGCTCCGCCTTCGTGGCTAGGGGGTCGGTCACGCCTACGCCTGGCAGACCCGTGACCGCGGAGCCCCTCCCAAGGCCCAACAAGGCGCGCTCCTCGAAGCTGCGTCGCTCCATCGCCGGCCCGTAGTGGGGGGAGTCACCCCACATGCTCACTTTCTGGACGCGTCGCAGGCGACGCATGCCGTACTGTAGGACGACGGCGGAGAGAACGGCGCAGACGGCGGAGACGCCCCAGAATCCGAGATCCGATTCCTCGATGAAGTTCTTGAGGTTCATGCCATACAGAGCAGCGATAAAGGTGCCTGCGCCAAGACCTAGCGTGCAGATGGAAAATTTGAGGTCGAGCAGCATAAGTGCGTTGCGATTGGCGTCTAGGATGGCGCGGACGCTGATTGCATCTGTTAACTGGATTTCACCCATGGCGGAGGGAGCGAGAAAAGAGTGTGTGACTTACATCTCCTCGGTGTTGCGAATGTTGCTCACCAAGTTCTCGGCCGCCTGTACAATCTCGTCGGTAACCTTGTGATACGATTCAAGAAGCATCTCAATCTCTGTGTGATCGTCCTCCGCCCTGATCTTGCCCCTCGCCTTCTCGCTGAGATACATGTCCGCCAGGTCGTCGTCCGCCTCGAGCAGCTCCTCAAGAGCGTCTCTGACCAAGCGCGCCTTCTGTTCAAAGGTACCCAACTTTTTGCTGTAGACGAGCAGGTAGCGCAGCTTATCCCTGTCAATGTCCTCTTCCAGATCGCGCAGCACCCGAAGGACAGGGTCGCGCACGCCCTCAAATTCACTCTCCAGGCCCGTGGTGACGGATATGAGCACTGCTTCGAGGGCGCGAAACTCGTAGGGCAGCGAGCCGTTCGAGCGCGCATCAACCTGGCGCAATTTTCCCTCAAGATCGTACATGAAGACGCTTTGGGTATACGAATCTGTGCTGCCGTAGGCGTCGAAGACTAGAACGCGGTCGCTTTTGATCAGAACGCGCAGGTGAAGGAGGTTGACGAGGATTGCGCTCTCGCGGACAAGAATGTGAGGGTAGTACGTTGAGTCGATCTTGCGCAGGTCGCGAGGAAGCAGGCCATACTTTGCAATCAGCTCCTGCTTTTTGAACTCGCCGTTCACAAGGGTGACGTTTCCATGCTCGTCGAACTCGGTACATCGTATGCGGAGCTCGTTTGACGGTTTGAGGATTCGCCCAGGCGTCTGACTGTCGTCCAGGAAGCTCGACAGCGGAGGCAGATTGTGCGGGCCATGGTGGCTTGTGTGACCCTTCTGCTTTCGAATGCCAAAATAGTTCCACAGCGACTTGATTGTGCTGCTGGAGAACAACCTGGCCCTTGGCCGTTGCGTATCGCCGCTGGAGGACGGCCTACGGGCGCGCGGAATGGTTGAGGATGCCGACGACGCAAAGTTTGCGGAATACCGTTGCAGTTCTGATCTGGAGTAGGCCGATTCCCATGAGGGATGCTGTCTCGGGGCGGGAAGCAGCTTCACGTCCTGGTCGCTAGCGCTCGCTGAAGCATAGCGTACGAGCTGGATGCCAGGACATCTTTGCGTTCTTATCGGCGGCTCGGCAGGACCGGGCTGGCGTCTAAGGAAGCGAAGGAACGCTGGCGATGGCACAGCTGCTCGGCACGCATATCTCGTGGTGTGCATCGCGCGCCATCAAGGGCACGTTCGAACGAGACGAGCCGTGAGGGAGGATGCGGGGAGGACGGAGAATCGGCAGCGACCAGGTCGGGATGGATGTCAGGCTCTGTCTATCACTTGCTCGTCGTCGACGACCAAAAAAATCCGCCGGCGATCATCCGGCCGCAGCAGCGGACCACGGCGACGTCACGTGTGCCGGGGCCTCTGTTTCCGGCGATGCCATTGGCGCTGGCTGCGTCGGCGCGCGCTCGCTTGGGCGATCATTCACTGCACACCTTGATCTCCTTCGAGACAATGCTACGAACGCGGCTGTGGCTTTGTTTTGCCCGTTGCTCGTTCGTCGATGGACGCGCAGAAGCTCCCGAGGCGTCTGCTGCCAGCGCGCTCATCCATCGTGGCCCGCAAAAAAACCTGTCACAAAGTTCGCGGCCCGCGCAAAATCCCTGTCCGACTCCCGCGATGTCATTCAGCGATGGGTCGATGCAGCGACACAGTCCTGGTCCCAACGTCCTGCAGCCACGCCTTTAAGCTCTGGAAAATCCACGCGTATGACACAATCTCGCCTGCTCACTGCCGCAAACCACGTTTTTTTCCGCCCGTCGAGCTTGAGGCTGCAGTCCGCCGGGGTGGGTGCCTTGCTTTGAATAGCGCGGCGTCGCGGCACACGTTTCTCAATCGTCCATCATCCATGCGTCAATCTTTTGCTTTCGACAAACAACTTTGATTATGGCTGCCCCATTGTGCCTGTGCTCTTCCTTATCAACGCTACCTCGTGTGCTGTATTATGTTTGGCGAGCTTAGGATCAGAAGAGACAAGAGCAAGGCGGCAGGTGCGACAGCCTCAACGACCAGAGGAAAACAGCCCATCATGGCGAGGAAGACATTTTTGGACTTCTTTAAGCGCGCAAGACGGTTCAAAAAGTTCAAAGACGACAGTGCAGGTACAGGCCAGCCTGGGGTCCTGCACAGGGCCGCCGGTTTCGTGAGAACACCGCCAGTCGAGTCTGCGTCGGAGGACCAAGATAAGTCGACCGACGCTACCGCAGATGCTTCAGCTCCGCGTTTTTTGAGCGCCGAAGATGTCCATCAGCTCTTTTCGGGAGCTCCGCACTTTTCAGCCGCTATCGTTCAGGGCCAGGGGCAGATATCCGTGTCGCACCCCTGGGACTTCGAGCTGCAAACACGTGAGGCAAGTGACTCTGCCCCCATTCCTCATGCTGCCTTCTATGGCGCCACATTGCGTCGGCACTTGCCAGCGCGGGGCTCTGGAGACATCAAGGCTCTTTACCCCGTGACATACGACATCGGCGTCGTGGAATTGCCCAGTATGCTTGCATCGACAGGACGCGAGCCTGGTACGGTTGGGCTAGAGTTCTTCCTGCAAGAGCCGGAGGCAGACATACTCAACACGCACACGGAAACAGAAGACCCAGGGGAAGTCTTTGAGAACTTCAGCAACTTCGAGCTCTTGGAGAGTCAGCCCGAAAAGCTAGGCATCAGGAAGTTCGATCTTGCAACCGTCGCGGAGCGTCTTGTCGAGCTGAGCACGATATACACGGCGACGGGCGAGGATGAGAGGAGCTTCAACATACTGAATCACTGCTCCAGCGCTGAGTTGCACGCCTCTTTGTTTGGCAAAATCTTGACGGCTCCAAAATACGACCATTCGACGTCAGATCCGAAAGGCCTGAAGGTCCAAATTGAAGCCTTGGTCAAAATTCTGAATCTGAAGCGCGTGTGGTACAACTTCAGCATTGTCGAATGGCGCATAAGGGTTGGGCAGCTCCTCTTCACCGATGGCGTGCCCGATATAGCTGACTCCAATATCTCCGAGCCCGAAGACGGCCTCAGCGAGCGTGACGTCGTCCTGCTACAGCTCCTGCTTTCATGCGAGCTGTACACGCGACTTGAGGCTATTGCCAGCCTTAGCGTAGAGGAGGTCAAGAGGAGTCTACATCTTACGTCTGAAGATGTGCAAAAGTTTCGAAGGATGGAGAGCCGTAAGGTAAGGTGGGATCTTGTGCTTGCGCGCAGGTTTCTTGAGAACGTAAATGCGAAAACGTACACCCGCCCGAAACTCGTGCCGGCCACGGAAAAGAGCCTGGCAAGGAGTATCTTTGGCATATCGCAGCGGGAATCAACGATGAAGATTGACGAGGTAGACATTGCATTTGAGCCACGGAGACAGGACGCTCAATTGAGTGGACTGTTTTACTTCGCCGAGGCGCTCAAGTGGCCCAACCGGGAAGCTGTCGAAGCGCATTTCACGGGAGTGCTCTCATGCAACACATTAGACCAGCTGTCTACTACGCCAAGCATATATGCGACGCCTCTATCCACCCCCGGTACGCTTACCCCCCGGTCGTTCCGCAGCAATCTAGAGAGTGGATACTTTGGTGGTGCCAATAGCCCCGAGATGACTCCACGATCCTTCCAACTACAGCCACCTTCAAGGCTTGATATTTCTGACATACATGATACCCCGACTCCTACCAAACCATCTATCGGCGGCTGGCTGACCCGAAGCTATTTGACGGGTCTAATTATGCCCGGTGAGGCCATCTGCCACCTTCTCATTTCTTCCATTCTCGAGAACGATGCAGAGTCCATCGCCGTTCTGGGCGAGAATGCGAATCTGTACGGCGGATTCGTGTACAAAGGCCGCAGTTTTTGGAGCAAGAGCTGCATTGTTGGAAGGGTAATAGCGTGTCTCCAAGACACGGGGGAGTGCATGGGATGGATATCCAGCAATCTTGTCCCAGATGGATACGGTGATGGCTGGTTGGACGTCTTCAGTGCTCCGATGGCACTGAAGAAGTTTGATATCGAAACCGATGCGTTGGCAATGAATACAGATCTGCTCAGCGGGAAGGAGACTCAAGAGGTGGAATTCGCTGAGCTTAGTCTGCCACAGGACGGACCTTATGATGCGAAATCATCTGCAGCGATCAGGTTTAAAGGCTTGCGTCTGAGGCACAATTCTGCTACACGCGGGTTCACTGATGAGCCCACGTTAGCTGCGAGCCTAGGCTTCACGGTTCTTGACGAAGACGAGGTTCACGACATCCCGCTGGCAAACCTAGTGCAGTTTGTGTCCGCGTATCCATGCACCCCTCCAAAGAATGTCGTTGTAATGAAGCACGTCACTCAAATGGACGCGAACGACACGTCCCTTCTTGAAGTTGCACCCTCTCATCCATTGCACATGGGCTATCACTACCGCATGCTGCATGCCATGGAGCTCTTGAACCCCAAGCTCGATATTGACGAGGGCGACAGTGACGCAGTTGTCATAATTGATGCTCGCAGCGAAGATTCTGTGTTGGAAGTCCTCGCTAGAGCGTGGTGCGCCAGCGAAGGTGTCAACGCGCTCGTTGCGAGGGTTGGGAGGACGTGTTTAGCATGTGCGATCAGAGAGGCAAGGGGATTAGGCGTCAGGTTCGTGATCAGAGTTGGAGGCAGGTAACACGATTTGACCGCTGGGAATTGGGCTATGAAGAAAAGTGGCGCGTAATTTTTTTTTGTTTCTCATCCGTGTATACATCTAGATACCCAGTAATGCTTCACCTATTGTTTAATGACCGCTTATCCGTCCTCGTCCTCTACTTCCTCCATCTCCACTTTTCTAAGCTGTGTCTCGGCAACTTCGCCTTCTCTGCTCGCGTCGCCGGTATATCCTTCTTCGAGCTCTCTCCGCATCATCTCATATTCTGCTTCTTTCACCGCTTCAGCGACCGCCATCTCCGCATCGTGATACGAAGCCTGCTCCAAGTCCTCGACCTGCTCTCCGGGCGAGTTTTCGGCGTGTCTCGGCTGCCTTTCCGGCTCCACGTACTGTCCACCAGCCTCGCGGGCCACCGTTTCATGCTCGGCTTCCTTGACCGCTTCGTCCGCGGCGCCCCGAGCAGCGTTGTATCCGGCCTTTTCGAGCTTGTCCAGCTCCTCGGGCTCGATGAGCCTTTCGCCTCTGCCCTTGATCTGCTTGATGTTTCGCGCCACGGAGGAGGGCACAAAGGCCCGCGCCGGTTCCTTCCTCAGGTCCCGGATCACGGGCGCGGACTCGTACACGACCTGGCTCTTGATTTCCGGCTTCTTCGGCAGCGACAGGTCCACTTGTGCGGCGTCGACCCTGTCCTTGTCGCGCGCCCGCCGCCGCGGCGCCGGCGGCATGTTCTCCACGTCCTTGGGCATCGGGATGTCCCGCACGTCCTCGTCCGTCTCGCTGTCGCTGCGCGCGTCCTCGTCGCCCCGCCGCCGTTTCCCCAGCACGCCGCCGCTGCCGCTGCCGCCGCCGTCCCTCCTCGGCGCGTGAAACTGCGGCGCCTTGTCGCCCAGCTGCTCGCGCGCACGCAGAATCGCCTTGTGTTCCCGCTGCAGCTGCTCGAGCAGCTGCCGGTCCTTCGGCTTCAGGTTCCCGCTCGCCTCCGCCTGCTTGAGCTCGTCGATCTGCTGCTGGATGCGGAACGGGTTGCGCTTCGCGAAGCGCTCCGCCCGCTGCCGTTCCACGTTGGCCTTGCCCTTCTTGATGTCCTTCTTCTTGGCCGCCTTCAGCGCCGCAGTCGCCGGGTTGATGGTCCGCTCCTTCGCCATCGTGAAGGCGTGCGTGGTCTATACGGGAGATCGATGAGCGTCCGCAATGGTGCCGAGAGAGCACAATCGGTTGTGCGAAGGGGGGAGGCCGTGGATATGACGTCGCGCAGGACGGAGATTTTGAGAACTACGCCAGGTCGCGAGATGCCAGGGTCCGAGCTTTCGCGCTGCCTCAGCCTTGGACGCAGCCTCGCTTCAGGTTACACGGCTTGAACTTGATAAAACGTTCACGATTACCAAAGGAAAATGCCTCGGGATTTTTTTTCATTTCATCCAGTATCTTTCTTATCTGCCGTCATCCTAATCGCAGCCAGTTTAATGCATAGACGTCTAAGGGAGGAAAGTCATCTGAACACCACGCGCAGGCAGGTAACTATTACGTCCAGATATACAGAGGTGCATCTTACAGTTCTGCGCAAAGAGTGAGAGCCTTTGCCCATCTAGAACAGGGCTTTCAAGTCCCTAGATGTACGAAGTTCAATTGATTCCGGTACACGCCTCCATCAACCTCTCCAGCCGGCCCAGCCTTTCCAGCCGATGTCCGGGCGTATTCTGTCATCAAATCGTGCGGCAACATTGAGGTACACACAGGCTCACCATCTTGAAAGCCAGCAGGGGCTAACCTAGACGCGATGCGAAAAAGCAGGAAGTGGATGTGCGTTGACCATGCAATCGAAAAAGAGAGGCAGAAAAGGCCGTGCGTGCACGCGAGAAAGCCTTTCTTCTGCAAACAAGAACACCCATTATCATCCTCCTCCTCCTCCTCCTCCTCCTCCTCCTCCTCCTCCTCCTCCTCCTTCTTCTTCTTCTTCTTCTTCTTCTTCTTCTTCTTCTTCTTCTTCTTCTTCTTCTTCTTCTTCTTCTTCGTCGTCGTCGTCGTCATCGTCCTCCTTGGCTGCCTCAAGCCCACCAACCCCTCCGAGCCATTTTCGGTCTCAAACCACCATCAACGCCGTCGTCCTTTTCCCACCGAGGCTCCCGGCGACGGGCTCGGCGACAACAAAGACCTAAGATTTACTCGCCGCCCCCCTCGCTCTGCATGCCCGTGCACCCGGTCACCTTGCCCGCCACCTCCTCCGCCCTGCCGTACCCGTCCTTCTGGGGATTTCTCTCCGCGCTGGCCGCCTTCATGGCGTCGACGGCGTGCCGCTTGGCCTCCGCGCCGCTGTCCTTCCGCTCCCTGCTCCCTGTCGCGGACCCCATCGCCTCCTGCAAGAAATCGTTAGCCGTCGCGGTCTCCGCCGGACAAACCACCGTGGGCTGTGGGAGACGTGCCGTTGCGGCGCCCTTGGCGTACTCAGCGCGGCTTGTTCGTGTTCGCAGCCATTCTTCTCGTGACGCCGATCCGTCCGTCGTTGCGAAGAAGTGGCCGTGTTTGTTCTGTTCTTGTTCTTGCTTTTTTTTTCTTTTCTCCGTGAGCGTGCTCGTGTACGTGTGTGCGCTTTTTAGATATAAATATATGTGGCCCTGAGATTCGCTGCTTTTCGAGGTCTCGCATGCGGTTCTGTTCTCAGTCGTCCAGCGCACTCTCCATTTCGCTTCTGAAAAAAAAAAAAAAAAAAAAAAGAGAGAGAGAGAGAGAGAGAGAGCAATCACCACGATTCACCTCTGATGTCGGCCAGGTCTGCCTCGCCTTCTCTCTTTAATTGCGCCGCGGAAGAAAAAAGGGCAATCCGTGTAGTGACGGTCGCATCAGTCATTACGTCATGGACCTCGTCCACACCGTTATACTCGTGCCTTCTTTGCCGCTCTTCGTTCGCTCCTCCGAGGAACGCGGCGCGAGCGGGGGGGGTGGGTTTTCTTGTTGAGCATCCTGAACCATAGCGGTGCCTTGCGACGGGGGAACCTCTGTTCGACGTTCGTCATGACGAATGTGGTTGTGATTAGCGAACGCGTTTCTGTTTTCTCTTGAGGTTTGGAGCGTGCGGCCCGTGATTTACCTGAAGGGATGCCGGGTAACCCTCAAGACGCCGCACCACTTTGAGTCCAAAACGTCTCTATGCGGAATTGGCTACACTGGGGGCTAAAATATCCGGCGAGAGTAAGTGCATGCAGTAATCTGACTGCAGATGAGTGGTGGGCGAATCCACAGACGGATTGGAAGATCGGCAGGATGAGGACGAGACTCTCTGGGGATGAGCAAAGGGACAGTCAAATTATCGTGCATCTTTTATCTAGCAGTGCACGCTAGTATATATATATACACATATACATATATGTTTAGTCCCCCCTTCCGAATGCAAATTTTGCGCATTTGCTCGACGGACACAAGTTCCACTCATGGCTCTCCAAATGGATAGTTGAACTTCAGCAGCCCGTTCAATCCACCGACCCAATGATCCTCCCCGCTGACGTCCCCGCTGCCGTTGGAGCCTCTCACCACGCTCGGCACTCCCCCTTCCCAGACGCCGTCCGCGCTCCTGATTCCCTCGCCCCAGACTCTTATCTCCATGCCTCTGCGCAAGCCCTGCTCTCGCCTCACGCCGTCGATGCTCACCTCCACTTCCTCTGCGCGGTTCTTCTCGCTCAGACGCAGGGAGATGGGCGTGTTGGCTGGCAGGACGAGCGGGCGGAAGCTTAAGCTGCGCGGACAAATGGGCGTCATGAGCAGGGAGGGCACGAGCGGGTGCACAATGGAGCCACCGCTGGACAGCGAGTACGCGGTCGAGCCGGTCGGGGTGGCCACGATGATGCCGTCGCTGACACCCTCCGTGAGAAAGCGGCCGCCGATGGAGATTTCGATGATGGTGAGGTGCGGGGCGGCGCCGCGGTGCATCGTGACTTCGTTCATTGCGTAGACTTCGCTTGGAGGTGACATCGCGTTCGAGCGAACCGCACCTGCCACAACGCGCTGACCGTCCGGACCGAAGATGCCAACCTTGAGACGATTGCGAAGCAGGATGCGGGACCCTCGATGCTGGCCCATGCTCTTGCCGCGGATGGACGACCACCCGGCTGGTCTTGTGCTCTTCTCATGCGGAGTCTCTTCGGAAGGGCCTGAGGCCTCGGCGATTCTGGCATCCGAATGGACGGGTTCCTCGCCTTCGAACAACGCGCTGCCGTACCCCGCGGACGCACCGGACATGTAGACCTCTCTGAAGGCGCGCTTGTACTCCTTGAACTTCCACTCGCCTAGAAACCCCAGCGTGCCCATGCTAAAGGACAGGACCGGGGGAACGTTCCGCGTGGTGGCGAACAGCGACGCAGCGCGCAGGATGGTCCCATCGCCACCGAGAGAGCACACGAGGTCGACCTTATCCTGCAGAGCCTTGGTGCCCGCCTGTGCAGTGTTTGTGGAGTACACGGGGAAGGGGAACAGGGAATGTAGGTCCTCGGCCGCCTTGGGCTCGAAGATGAGGGACACGTCTGGGTAGGTGGACGTGATGTGCCTGCCAAACTCGACTACGGCCTCGTCGATGTGGGGGACGCGATTCTTCTTTGTGATGAGCACGTTGCGCGGAGGGGCGGGCCACTGCAGGCACAAAAGGTCGTTCTGCTTGGTTTCTGTACAGGCGCCATCAGGATCAACCGGTGCAAGAGCGAAGAGGACGGGGACGGTCAGGGCAATGGACGGGAGGAGAGGTAGCGTTCGTACCTAGGAACTTGGGAGCGATGCGCGGCTGCAGCTCAGCGACGTCTCGGATCTCATGGCGACGCGGAGAGTGCGAGAAGGCCCGGACGGTGCAGCCCGGCGCGTGTCCACGCTTCGTCGTCGAGAGGATGGTTCTGCGTATCATGGCGCCATGGCTCTCCAGGCCTGCCGCCGTCTTCTGTCGTGACGCGACGCAACCACACGAGGCGGAGAAAAGGAAATGAACTTTTCGGTTCAGGTGGAACTTGTCGGCAGATGATGGGCTGGTTCAACGATCGCAGCGTGACTCGCTGAGGAAGGCGGAGAGACCCACGCTCCGCCGCTTGTTTCTCCCGCAGGCGCCACTCCGTCACGTGGAAGAGGTCACCGGACGAAAGCGCGCGTGGACTGCGGGAGGACTTGGGCGGGACCGGGAGACGTGTAGGCGGTAGCGGGGGGTGGATTGGGGGGTGGACGGGGGGCCGAACGGGGGGGTTTGGCAGGGAGTTTGGGGGGGGGGGGGGGTGCGCAGGTCTACACAGCATGGCGCTGGGTCAGTGGCGGGGGCTGCTCTCTAGGCTGGAGAGGCGGTGGCCCAGTGGCTAGGCGCCAGCATCTTGGGCCTGGAGCCTGCTTGTGCGTAGTGGGCAGGATTGGTTTCGTCTGGCCGCGGACGCGCCCCCCGCCCCCCGTGAAGGCAGGCGGGCGGCTGTTTGGCGGGGTCACCGGGTCTGCCCAGCCGAAGGCCGACGCGTCCAGGCCGGCGCTCCTGCATGCTTTGCGCAGCTCAACCCCGTTGCACAGCAGCCAACTCTCTCTCCCACAGCGGACGGACAACAGCGCTGGCCGACGTGCACACGGCTCACACGTCCTCCTTCCTGTGCTGCCCTCCCCCAATCCGTCCTCTTCTGTCTCAGCCGCACTGATCTCGACCATCTCTTCTGCGTGTCTCGATCCTCCCTCATCTGGATCCAGCTGACAACTGCCGCCAGCATGGTCGAGCTCGTGCCATCGTGACATCAGAAGCTGGAGAAGCTCCCCTGCTTTCCCTCCGTATGCCTCTCCCGATCCGACCGATCTTTGCTATCTATCCAGCTAGCTGACCACCGTGCGGCTCGATCACTCTCCGTCGCCTTCTACTCTTGTCTCTCCTGCATACCGCACCGCAAAAAGTTGATAGAGCAGTCAGTCCGTCAGGCTTAGTGCCGTAATCGTATTCCACTAGACCACCCACACACATCCGCCTGTGTCCGCCTAATCCCTCCCACCCTATCATCACACCTGTTCACCCACCTTCCGTCTATCTGTCCAGACTAGCCAACTAGCCAACAAGCCGACCGCCTCAGCACGAGCTGGCCTTGACATTCTTCCACCCACTTTCCCTCTCCTGCTCAATCTTTTCGTTTCTTTCGCGTTAGACACATCCACACATACGCAGTCGAGCAAACCTCTCTCCCAAAAAAACAGCTGGAAACAATCCTTCTGGACAAAGGATGGCAAGCATCGATGCCGAGGGCATCAGGCAGCGCCCGCAGGTGCTGGACGAAAAGAGTCCCGTCACGTCCACGACGGTGAAGGTGCAATCGGAGAAGGAGGAAGTGCTTGCAAAGCATCCCGGCGGCTCGGCGCATGGCCCTCTGCTACAAGCCGCTCGCATCGTCGCCCTGGTGGTGTACTTTATGGGGAGCTGTGCCTGGTAAGGGACTTGTCTGGGTCACCAAATCAGCTCTGCTCACACACCTCGGACAGCATGAACGCGACGCAATTAATCTTCTCGCCACTGTATTTCTACGACAAGGATCTTTACTATGCGTGGATGGCGGTGACCAAGCAGCACTTTGGCCTGCTTGCCGTCACCATGCAGCAGTGGTGGTCACCGACGACGGTCCGGGTGAGCGGGGACAAGAGCGTGCAGCGCCAACTCACGCAGGTGAGCGATGGACGGCTGGAATGCGACTTCCCCGAGCGCATGGTTCTCATCGCCAACCACGAGGTGCGTATAGTTTCTCGCTCCAATAAGACGCCTTCTTCTTTTTCTTGCCAGCACAAGAAATCCAGCGCAACAACAGAGTAGACAAGGTCAGAGTACAGGGCTGATAGGCATACGTCGAATCTAGCTCTACACGGACTGGCTTTACCTTTGGTGGATCGCGTACACGGCAGACATGCATGGCCATATTTACATCATCCTTAAGGAATCCCTCAAATATGTGCCAATCCTCGGCTGGGGCATGCAGTTTTTCTCCTTCATTTTTCTGTCGCGAAACTGGACCAAGGACCGCCAGCGCTTTGCCCACCGCCTCGGCAAGCTCAAGCTAAAGCATGGTCCGTCACAGTCCTATAAGCCCATGTGGATGCTCATCTTCCCGGAAGGCACCAATCTGAGCCGCAACTCGCGGGCCAAGAGCAAGGCGTGGGCTGAGAAGCAGGGCATTCCAGACATGCAACATGCACTGTTGCCGCGGAGCACCGGTTTGCACTTTTGCCTGCAGGAACTCGATGACACCGTCGAGTGGGTGTATGACTGCACGCTAGCCTACGAAGGGATCCCGTAAGTTTCTCTTTTTCTAAGCTTATTCAAACACTCAATCTTTTCGACGTGTCGATATAGTATCACGTGACTAACCCTGCACCCCCATCAGACGAGGCCAGTACGGTCAGGATATTTTCACCCTCCGCTCGATCTACCTGCGTGGCCTGGCGCCCAAGTCTGTGAACATGTACTGGCGCCGCTACGCTGTGGCATCCATTCCTAAGGACCAAGCTGCTTTCGACGCGTGGCTCCTCGCACGATGGCGCGAGAAGGATGCGCTGCTTGAGTACTACATGCAACACGGCCGATTTCCTGCCCTGGAGGACGACGACGAAGAAAAGACCGTACCTAATGGAGCAGGCATGGCCAAGGAAGGGTCCAAGGGCGGCTGGATCGAGACGGAGCTTAAGCCGAGAAGTCGATTCGAATTTCTGCAGATCTTTATTCCCAGTATGACCATCGTTCTGGTGCTGAATCTAATCCGGAAGTTCTGGCTGTGGTTGAACGTCGCGCTGTCTCTGAGGAGTTAGGGCCCCGATGGTGAGTTTTGGCATTAGGTCGAGATTCTGCACACAACTGCTTTTGGCGTGCGAGCATTCCAGGGAGCGTTCGATCGCTTTTTGAGAGGCCCATTCGCACGCCTTTTCATCCCTTCGCTTCCCTCTATTTCTTTACTTTTCCCTTTTGACATTTGGCGTTGGCTCTTTTCCCCCTTCCGGTGTATTGGACGGTGTTTTGTTCGTGAGCGTTCGATACCCCCCTCCATTTTCTAGAGGCTTAGAATGGTACACCATAGTTGCGCTCAGCTGGGTCAGACTTGAGACGAATTTTTTTTTTCCCCGTCCTGAATTGCATGACTGCCTCGGATTTTTGAGATAAAGGCCGACGGGACTTCCATAGAGGACTACGTACCATAGCAATGCCTACATGATCGAATTTTAATTCCTTCTGGCTTCATGTCGCAAACTCTCTTCTTCTTCTTCTTCTTCTTCTTCTTCTTCTTCTTCTTCTTCTTCTTCTTCTTCTTCTTCTTCTTCTTTTTTTTTTTTTTTT